ACTCAATATGCACCAAATGACAGGGCACGTCGTACCTACGTCGTGTGTGCAGTGTGTAGCGCGTGGGAGGACGCTGCAGGGCTTCGCCACCCGCACGATCCTGTTACCACACTCCTGGCGCAAGGGACCTAATCCTGTTACCTATAATTGATCGGGGTAATAGCGTGGAATATTAACATCGCGCCGACGATGCGGGTTGAATACTAAGTCGATTAAAATTGAGGTGTTGGTTTGATATTGTTGAGTTTTATCATTTTCTTGATATTTTTGCATATTTTTACTACGCATATTGTTTTATTTTACCAGTCTATCCTATTTCTGGAGGCAAACTTGATTGTCCTACATCGTGTAGGTTTATTCAGGCCTCTTGCTATTTGAAAACATCGTAAATCGCATCATAGATTACAAAATAATGTCAAAGTGCAACTCATACTAACTTCGAGCACAAAACTTAAAGGATATTGCACAGGAAACGCACACAACGACAAGAATTAGAAAGGGCCGCGAAAATTAACGTCGAACTAAAATTAAGGAGACAATTCTATTGTGTAAACGGGTTCCTTCCACCAATGGCGAATGAGCGAGGCGAATTGTCAAAGACAACAGAACCATTGTGACAATCGCACCTCTAATGACACACTAGCGACACCTGGATAGAGCCTGTATAAGGCCCCCGCAGAACAATGCACACGGCACGGCGCACAATTAAATATCACTAGTCTAAGAACTCTTCAAAATATTCAATAACGCTTTTAGTATAATTTGCTTTGGCATTTCAGTATGGTTGCTTCCTTATTTAAAGAGCAGGAAGTTGTCTCTTCAACAGTTTATTGAGAGCTAATTTGATACCTAGATCTGAATTTGAAGCATCACCTTAGTTTTCGAGTAAAATTTTTTAACGATACAGTTCCTGAAAATCCGGTCATTACCTATGTAACAAACATGTGTCAAAAGGTAAGTAAATATTGTACTTTTATTATATTGTATTCGCTTCATTTGTAGCCGGTTACTAAAGGGTTGCTGACCCGCGAAGCCATATTTCATTTAGTTAAGTCTGCACTTTGCACCGAAGCGATGCATACGCCTACATCAAGAAGTAATCCTCTTCATAATGGTTCTACTCACCTATTTTATGATTTATTACAAATAACTAACTATTGGAAGTATTACTCATAACACCAAGTTAGTTACACTAAGATAAGAATGAAAAATATATACAACGACACCCGGAAATCGAACCAGAGTTGATCCCTGCTTGGTCGGTAGTTACATTTATGAGTTACTTCAGTGGGCTTCAGATTGTTTAACTCCTTGTCTCTACGTTAAAGAAAGCAGCAGCTGATTACCAACTGTGCTATTCTAAAAGAATAACTTCTAGTCGAAAACACTTCGTCTTTACGCGACCAGGAAATTAATCCTCACCGACGACTAATAAACAACGATGCATCATTTAGGAAAACAAATTCCTTCTGATACAAACACCGAAACTAGAAGCTACACTATAATTACAAGGTCGTGAAAACACGAACATTGGTCTTTTAAGGTTGTAGTGAACAATATAATATTGCACAATAACACCTTATTTAGTCAAATAAACCACTAAACTTAAACAAGCCAGTCGTTCACCCTAATTGGGAGTCTCAAGGCAAATCCGCGCTTGCGTCGCCCACGGTGCAGAATACATCTAGAACTGCCTACACCTTCAATTAGAGCGCAGCAAGTACCACGGTACCGCCTGTGTGCTCAGCATTAAATATAATAATGTCTTTTAAATTATATTGTTTATAAAATTACCTGCCTACGTCAGTTTTATTAGTAGGCTCAAGGTAGAGTCAAGCAATTTCGCACCACCTTTAGATAGATTAATGTTTTGTGGGAAAATAGTATCTAATAATAGACTTTCAAACTAAATTCTGTTCTCAGGACTGTTAGAAAACCAGTGAATAAGTTTCTTAAGAGATGCTAAAATTACTGGACAATTGGAATAAAAAAAGGACTGGACTTGTTCGATCATAATTTTTTTACTGTCTTTTATGACATGCCAATTTTGTTATCAACATAGATAATAATATAAACCATATTTATTTCTTAATAAAAATCAGAACGGTACAAGAACGTACTAATACTACGACACTATCATTCAATCTAGTGTTGGTTTTGGCTTCTGGAAATCAAAAATTCATAAGAAGGAACAATGTCGGAGCCGGAAGGTAAGTACACAAAACTAGTGATCCATTGTACGAGGAAATAATAAAAGCGATTCTAAAATGGATTTTATGAGCCACTGAGACGCTCGTTCAAAACGTATAAAAGCAAAATTACATAATAATATTGTTCAAGCTCTTTGAGTGGATAACTAGCTTACCCATACGCATTAGACGTTGCATCCAGGTTTATGAGTACAAGCTTAAATGTAACTTTACATTTTAAACGCCGAGTTACAACATACTTCCCTGATTTATTAGATTTACTTTACATAGGTATAATAATTCGGAGAACCGTTTTGCCAAATTGCGTATTACCTACCTAAATTTCCTTAAATTTACCTTCGATATAAATTCAAGACAAGAGTAAGGACGCTATGGTTGTTTATGTAGTATTTAGAAAGACAATTTTAAGACGTGCCGAAAGAGATTACTGTGGAAACAGTAAGAGTAAATAGCGGAAAACACCAATACCAATATATAGCAGATCTACTTGAGTCCTGAGAACTAAGTACAATAGTTTACAAAGGTATTATGTAATAATGAATTGGTTACTTACTTACTTCGTTATAGAGCTCTTCGAATCCTCGGGCAGACCAACAAAAATCAGAGTAGATGACATTGGGGCACTCACAATCCACTATTACTTATATTCACTGAAAATTTTTACTTGTACACGGAAACTTTATAATAAAAATGCGCTGTAAATCACGTTTGCATTATTACAAATTGTTAATTTTATGACACCTGTCAAAGAATAATTATGTGAAGGGAATGTTTTATTTAGAATTTCAAGCCAGTGTCGGTGATATGAGATTGTACGGCAAACTGTCGTTTTGCGTTTAGGTTTTATGACAAAGTGTACGTGGGAGGTTGTAGGTGGAAATCGACCTCGACTAGTATGATATTAGTATATTGACCATGTCCTTTAATAGAAGAATGATCTCAGGTCGGACTTATTCAAAACTGCATGATTAACCTTTGCATTTTTTTTTTATTAGTGTCCACTAACAACAACAAAGCAAGGACAATGCGTCTTTTATGGCTTAATTAGAAATGACCAGATTTGTCGATCGTAAAAGAACAATAGTAGATCCAGTTGATGGTATGACTAGGTAGGTAATATACAAACAAGTGTAGGTACAAAACATTAAGCATATAATGGTCCCAACATACTCTGCATATTGGTTTGTCTTCGGGGAAATGGGCGGCAGCTACCTCTCGCGCACGCTGTCTCTTCCTTCTGCAAAACAGTTATATTCTAACTACGGTAGAGGCAGTACGTATGAGGAAACGCCTCTCTTCACGCTTCAGCCGGCGCTGGAGACCAGACGCGTCGAAGGTCGCTCTACGTGAGGTACTTTTTTTAGAAAACTTAAAGGCTGCCGTGTGATTTTTTGGATTTTTGAAATAAGCTATCGTAAACGAGTAGTCGGATCACCTGATGATAACCAATCGGCGTCGCCCATGGACACCTGGAATACCAGAGGCGTTACAAGTGCCTTACCGGCCTATTTGTAAATTGTTCTCACTCACACGACGAAACACAACGCAAGTGTTGTTTCACGTTAGTTTTCTGTAAGGCCGTGGAATCAGTCCGGTAGAGCCGGCCCATTCGTGCCGAAGTATGGCTCTCCTACACTTAAGATGTCAGCATTAGAATATTTTGTTGAAAAATGAACGACCACAGACGCTGAGCATGGATTCAAAACTGGTCCGGGCAAAGCTTTGTTAGGTGTTTTGAATATTTATTTTAAAAAATGTCAATGATAACTATTGAGGAAGCGAGAGAAGTATGTTATTAAAAATCGTAGCAAATTGGCGTTCCATAGCAAAGATAATTCAAGGATATTCCATAGTCTCTGCCTACCCCCACAGGAAACAGGCGTGAGGTATGTGAGTATGTAAAATTCTCAATTATAGCACGGAGTCTTGAATTGTGTAACAAGTATACGGAAATAGAGTAACCCTCATTAACTTAGGACTAATCTAACTGGCGAATATTGGTTGTAACGTTTATAAGGTACCTCTACTATGTGTTGTGCACCTCTGCCAACCATTTCAATGATTAAAAGGCATGGTTTCATTGCAGTTTCTTTTCATCGGGTAAATTAAATGCTTGTTCACCATGTCAGTGAGTGAGAAAAAAAATTTACAGTATCGACTAGTTTTTGTACTTAGATTTTACTGTGTAGTGACATCTAGTAGTGAGTAGTAGGAAGTATCTTGCTTCGTACTTGTTTCTTCAATATGTTATGGTGACTTACGACATCTGTTAGTGTAAATATGAACCACTTCAGTTTGAGTGTGCACACACGTAAAAATATTGTTGACACATGAATCGTTACTATTTTTATTACATTAGATTAGAGTTATTAATTATTTATCTTTGTTGCAATTAATATCTATTAATGTAACAAAGAATTTTTATTTATTTTCATAAATGGGTTTTTTCTGTTCTTACGAAGGATGACGAACGATAATAAAATATTGTTTCGTAGTTTTTATATTTTGCACGAGGACTATAAATCTTAAAAATATACTCGTTTGAATTTTATGTTTATAAAACAAATACTTTAATTCACTACCACCAAAGACTTTAAAAAAATCTCACTATTTTTTGTCATCGAACGTCAAACTCGCTATGACAAAAAAACTTAATGGGTTCGTTTCCGAACGCGAAATGATGCTTTGACGGGACGGCTGTTGAATGCAGTGGACTTGTTATTCGCTTTCAAAGTGATTTATTCGTTTCTCTTGTTTTATCACTATGAAAACTGTGCTCATTCTTTAACCATGTTGAATCAAACATCAACTGAGGCGTTGCTCTCAGCAACTTACGTCGAGAACTACTTAGATTGTGTTGAAAATCTTCCGAATGACCTGCAGAGGCATTTATCGCGTATGCGAGAGCTTGACGTAACATACAGAGGTAATTTTCCAATTTCTACATGTCCTTTAAGCTAGAATTCCTCTTACTAAGTATTAACAGTTATATATGTTATTATAAATTGATACAACAGCTTGTAACTATATTGTTGACGTTCGCCTTTCAACCTCATTACGTATGCATACCTATGTATAGATTACTACTCGTGAGTACAAGTGGACCAAAATAACATCAAAACCACTACTCTGTTGTTACTTCTAAACACGGTTATAAAAAAATTTGAATTAAGTTCATTATAAGTGGTTGTTTATACCTTATTGTGGGCTATAAAAAGAGTTGTGTTGTGAAGGTAACCTATTTGCTTTTTGGTTGCTATGTGCTAATTTTTGTGTTTATTTTTGTTAGAATGCCTTCGGGAAGCTGAGAAGCACCTAGCAGTATGTATAGGACCCAACACAGACGAACGTCGCCGAAGCCGCGCAGCTTTGCGGCTGCAAACAGTGCTAGTAGCAGCTCAGGAGATAGGCGACGAGAAACTACAAGTTGTACAGATACTACAAGACCTAATTGACAACAAACAAAGGTCACTTGATGCAGATCATAAAAAACTATGTGAGTATTTTTACTTAATTATTTTTAATTAATTGACATATGATTAGATCCAAAGTGTAGCCTTAAAATTATTTATAGTGGAAAATATAAATAAATAACCTAATTGTCTGTCACATACACTACAGTAATCTTAGCATTACTGACTATAACCAAAACAAATACAAGGCATGTTGTTAAATAATTTTCTGTGTCACATCTGTTAGTTTGGCAACAAGCCAGGAGTCACCCAAGCTATAACTACTAGCCAGTTTACTAATCCTATATCTGTTTCCAGTATCTTGCCTGGAGGTGAAGACAAATGGTACAGTGAAAGAAGATCCAGCTCCAGCCCCAGAAGCTATCAGAAGTGTGGAGAAAGAGACCCCAGCACCAGTGGTTACACCGCAGCATGCACCACCTCCTCCACCGCCTGAACGAAGCAATGAAAAGGAAAAAGAGAAAGTTGACCGAGACAAGTCCGGAGGTGTGTTTCAAAATCTTTTTACCTTCAAATTGCTATTTAATTTCCTCTTAAAATGTTCCCATAAAAGAAGTGCAAGTTTCAATAAAAATACAGGTTAAAAATTGTCATGAATCTATTTATTCATATAACAGGTGAACGTTGGTCAAAACGCGCACGACGCTCACGAACAACGGCAGGTGCAGCCACAGACGGAGCAGATTCCAGTGAACGAGACAGTGAAAGGCACGCCCACAACACCACACACAAGAAAGGTATGTATATCTACATCAAATGTTACCATTATACATGTTTTATGAAACAAAATTTGCTAACTGTCCTTTAATTCTGCAGGTATCGGCAAAAAGAAAAAGCGTAAAGCACGTCAAGCAGCACAACGTTCAGAAACACCGCCCGAAGAGACAGATGCTATCGACCCTGACGAGCCGCGGTACTGTCTTTGCGACCAGATATCATTCGGCGAGATGATCCTTTGTGACAATGATCTCTGTCCCATTGAGTGGTTCCACTTCTCATGCGTCTCACTCTCGACGAAACCTAAAGGAAAGTGGTTCTGTCCAAAGTGCCGTGGCGATAGACCCAATGTCATGAAACCTAAAGGACAATTCTTAAAAGAGCTAGAACGGTATAACAGGGAGAAAGAGGAGAAAGCATAGTCTCGTTAGATACCTAGGTTTAAGGTTCATGTGGATTTGAAATCAGTGAATACAACTGCAATACATGATGGTGCTTGTGGTAGGTATCAAATTGTGATATATTAACTTAAGACCTTCAATTAAGTAGCTATAGTGGGAGTGTAAGCTGCTAGTGATATCCTGACCCCTGCAAGTTCCAACATTTTAAATGAAATATTAAAGTATTCACTTGTTTCTAGTCCATGTATAGGCAATATGCCTAGAACACTTTCAAGTATTGAAATGTGATTTAAATTTTATGAATATTGAGTTCTTTCTATGTGACGTGTGGTCGTAACAGTAAGTTGCGATATTAATTGATGTATGACTAGTTGAATCTCCACAACAGTTCAAGATAGAAGTAAACGAATCTATGTTGTAATTGACTCCGCGATTTGACGAAATGTTGTAAATATATTAGTTATGTAATTGTCAAATACGGAACTTTAAGTACAGTACGGCATAACTTAGATACGCAATATGGCAACTTTAAATAGAAAGCATTCTGTATAAAATAGTTGCAAACAGATTTAATTTCTTACATTAAATAAGTTATATTCAATATAAGGATTAATAAATAATGCATAGTGGTTTTATTGTAATATCTACATTAATCTGTACCGCAGTTGAAACAATAACTATTTATTTATTTATTATTTTCTAAATTCAATAAACCAGTTTCTTCATAGTCTGTGTTTGTTATTCACGAAATTTGGAGAGTCCCGCTATCAGTAATTTTTATTATGATTATTTTATAGATTAGATATGGGTGCACATGTATCGCAGTAGTATCTTTAGCGTAACCTCGAAATTTATATTACGTTGACTACTGCCTCAAGAAAATGTCAATAAAACACGATTTCTCCATTAGTGATATACATTCATGTATGCCTTGTCGTCAATTCACACGATAAGAATTTATCATCGTGCATTATCAATCAAAATTATATGACAACAATAAAATAAAGGAAAAATATGCTACAATTTTATACCAGCCCCATCTAATCTACAAAGTACAATTATTAAACCTAAAAATATGGACACTAAAAGATCCCAACCTGTTTACCTGCACTAAAGTAGCCATAGCCACTAAGATGGAGTAGTGCAATAACATACAATTCAAAATTAAATTTATCAAACCCATATAAGTCTCGTCTTATTACATAAGATCTAAGTAAAACATAGAATGCAGTATACAATATGTCCTTTATTTTATAATATGAAGTATACACAAATCATCTAGTTACAATTAGTTGCCATGTAGGAAACAAAACATACTATATTCTTCAAGTCTCATAGAACATCTAAATAATACGCAGCGAGTACACACTACATTTATTACACTATAATATTAATAATTTGATTTGTCATAAATGCCATTATTATATTTAAAATGCTTCTAAAATCAAGGTTAATATTTGTTTATAAAATATTGCAATGGCTTAAACTTTCGACTAGATTTATTATTATAATTAAGTATCTATATTGCAAATTAATCGTAGTGTAAATAGTTTTTTAAACAGTAATATAGGTCGTAGAGATTCGTAATATAGTGAAGTGTAATTCTTATAAATACATTGAAATGGTACATTGATATTTCACTTTAACTTAGCACACCTATTTGCAGCTACAGTGCAGTGCAAGAGGCATAATACTTATACACGACACTTCTCAATTTTAAGCTGCTTCTTATTTGATAACAAGAGGCATAAGTGCAGTTTAAAATTGTGAAGCGTTTCACCATTCGAGCATTAGGAGCACACATTAAAAACAAGCTTGCTCAATATTACTCAACATGGCTCATCACTCACCGCTCCACATTTCCTAGTTAAAAATAATCTCCGACATACAGAACACAATAATAGATGGGATAAAATTACGAAACTAGATACTGAAATGGATAACTGATTGCGAGTAATTTGTAACTAATGTGTTGTTAGTTTCAAACCTACGATTACATATCGCATTTTATTAAAATTCACACAAAACACAACACACGATTCACGCAACTAAATAATATTGTTAACAATTGAAATGCACTTGTTCCATCTAATTCCAATATCGATCAATATCAAAAAAACGTTAACTATACGGCAAGACAAAATAATACTTTCGGTGTAAGGTAAAAATATCAAGCCGATACTTTTAAGTACACTCCATTAAATATTCCAATACACACTTATTAAAAAAATCATTTGTGACAAAATAATAATTAAATATGACACTAATTTGAACACAAATACTAATAAATTAACCGCTACCGTAAGCTATAGAAAGTACCACAAGATAATATCGTGCACATTGTATAGCAGCACTGAAGGTGGGTTTCTAAATCAAACAAACAAATAAATAAAAGGTTAAAGTGTTAACTTTGTAAATAAAATTGTAAAATTCTAAATTATGTTGAGATATCATTGAGGCATATTTTCAGGAGGCAGGCCTTCTAAAGTGAGACTTACAAGAAAGTTTTTTTATTATACATATTAGTACTTTGATAAGACAAATTATTATTGGACAGAAACACAGCTGAATATTTATAATAAAATTGTAAGATTCAACATTTGATCAATTTGATTCAGAAACCCAATGTAAAAATTATATCTATTTTGATCTAATGAATTGCTTCGCTACTTAAATTAGGCCGTTGCATTTAAATAGGGGGAACATGAATGGCCGATCTTATAGTAATGTTTCATTGGATTATACCCATACGCCGTGGGGGTTCTTATTGGTGGGCGCCGCATTCTCTAGCTGTCTCGGAGACCCGATGATCCTACGAGCGCTACCTGCCTTGCATAGCCCTGTAAATGAAGAAGAAAGATAATTTATAACAATACTTCTTCAAAAACAGTAAATCATCAATCAATCAGTATACGTTATCAGTTTATTGTATGCAGCGTAAAGTGTTAGTTTTATGAGTTTTCAGCATTAAATAATTATTCGTATCTAACCCGTAACAACAATTAACCCATTACACAACTGTAACTTGAAAACAGTTGTGTAATCTCTTCCTAGGAGGAAACACAAAATTCTAGGAAGAATTTCAAGTTTAATCAGCAATATTATGTAGATTTGTTTTGCAATGGTGACTGCTATAAGATAAAAGTCTCTCCCACACTCCCTAGTCTTTCTCCCAAACCCTTTAAAATATAAAATGATCTCTATAACAAGGACTAAGTCGAAATAAATAGTAGTGATGTGTTATTTATGTTATACGTATACATACATACCGTCCAACGGATGGCGCAGCTCGTCCACGCTGCCGGTCAGGCTCTGCAAGTTGGCTTCCTTCATCTCTTGCACCAGCCGCTCCACTTGGCGCTTCTTCTCCATTATGGCATTTTCTAGAACTCCAACCTGTGAAAATAAAAATAGTTTCTAAACTGATACTGTAATTATGTACGACAATATAAAAGTTTAATTTTTTTTAAAGGTTTTACCTAATAATGCCTTTAATTTCAATAACAATTGCTCGTTCTTGTCCATTCGAATCTACATTTTGGAATGAGCACCTAGCTTCACCTAGCTTCACTGACGGACTGACTGACAGACTATTATTTATTTTGTATTTGTTGACGTTTCAAAAGTACCAAATTATGGTTTAATTGAAATAAATGCTTTGACTTTGACAAGAAAACACTCACAATTTCCTAAAAGTACAATATAATTATATACAAAAAAAGTAGCTACAATAAAATTTAAATAATAAATTGTAATACATTTATCAGCTTCTATTTGATACAGGCGCTATTTACATTTAAACTTTCTATAATAACAAAAACGAACAACTCATACACATTTACACATACCTCTCTCTTCAAATTCTCAGCGGTGAGATTGTTGATTTCAGTCGCGTGTTTGGCCTGCTGTATCTGACTTTGTAAACTCTCCATTTCAGCGAGCATTGATCGCTCCAGCGACTGCCTAATATGTAAAGAAAATATGCACACTTAGAAGCGACAGGCAGAAGTCCAGTAACTGTTGGATATATTATAGTATACGTCCGAAAATTTAAATTCACCTCAAGGAAGTCATACAAGACTAAACAAAAACTGTTGTATATGCAAAACATAAGTATTGCATAAAGAAATAAACAAAGTTTTGACAAAAACTTACAGTCATCAAACAAAAACAAACTTCAGACGTAAAAAGTATCTGAAAATTTTAAGTCGATACAAATTACAGGTAGAATCCAAACAAATAAATGCCAAGGTCTTTTAATTCTCATTCCGGCATTAACTGTCAAAAGAACAATACAAAACAAATTCTCACAAAAGTACATAACATCATCGTTCTTCTAATTACCACCGTAATTGCATACCATCAAGACTTAAAACTGCTTAAAAAAGCAACTCGCGATTAAGAATGAGATAAACAAAATATTCTTTGCGTACTATAATCTGTGTAGCTTCAAAAAGTATATAGAGGGTCAAAAGTAATGGCGTATAATTTAATTTTATGAATCGGTAAAAAATGTTCTGAGTAATGGTAATTTTATGATTATTTGCAAAAAGAGAAAACTGCTATTGCAGAATATTACGGCGTTATGTAACATTATGTGAAAGTAGTTTTGTGTATGTAGTGGATGAATGCATCGCAGTTCAGTTTTTATTGCTTTGGTTTCAATATTATTTCCATCAACTGTAAATTAAATATGTTTTATGGAATAAAACATATGATGAAAAGGATATTATAAGATTTTTAAAGTGACTATTTACTTTTAAAGTAAAATATTTCCTACCTAATAAAATATATTTTATAATTTAACCTTATATTTAAAGTTTGATACATACATAACAACACGCCTTTTATCCCTGAAGGGATAGACAGAGGTGCACATTACGCCACTTACGCATTACACACTTAATACCACTGACCACTCAGCCAACAAGGCAGTCATAATAAAGTTTGAGCTTTGTTATACAATTGGTAATTTCGTAAACCTAAACCTATCCTTGATGAAGATGAATGAACCTTTTCAGTCTTATGTAGTATAATAATAATAAATAAAAGCCACTTGCACAGGTAAAAGAGACCTTACCTATTATCCTGATGGCGACTGTTGATAATCCTCTGCTCATTATGTATCTCCTCCATGAGCTTCCTAATCTTGTTCTTACATTGCAACAGTTCCGTCTCACAGTTGGCAAGCTTCGAACGCACCAGTACAATCTCAGACTTTATCGTCTTCTCATTTTGTTTCACTATTTCACTTTCTTCTTCTACGTAGTTCAGTGCTTGTGCCTAAAGAATTAAATATAATAATGATCCTAAAGCTTGTAGCAAAATAATGTGTATATAACTAAAATAAAGTTTAAATGTGGTAGAGCCATGCTTCGGCACGGATGGACCGGCTCGACCGCAGTGATATCCCGGCCTCACAGAAAACCGACGGAAAACAACGCTTTCGTTGTGTTTTGTTGTGTGAGCGAGGTTACTGAATCCCCAACAATCCTTCCAAATCCTTAAAAGGCCGGTAACGCACTTATAACACCTCTGGTGTTCCGCCGCCGATTGTTACCGTCATCAGTGATGCGTCTGCTCGTTTACCGGCTTATCCCATAAAAAATAATTATAATCAATAGTAACGAGTTGAATAGCCAAGTTTGAATATTTAATAAATAAAATAGCTACAAAAGCATACATAGCCGAAACACGTTAAAAAGAACATCATCAAAAATGGACGAATGCTAGGTGCTGTACTCAACTCAACCCAATATTACAATGTTCTTGTCCATTACTTAAGAAAAATTATGACCACAATATCAAAAGATACAACCACGTTCGGACACTGATAAAATCTGCTACCATTCTCTATGGTGAACTAAAACCAATCACCCACTAGGAGTGCATTATGGACTTCGTGATGGGAAATAGAATAAAGAAACCGTGCGAATCTAAATGCACGTAACTTAAGATAACAATGTTTTGTTAGAAGATAATTATGTGCCAACAGATTGTTTAGAGTGATCTTGTGAGAATGTACTAGTTTACCTGTTCAGTACTGATCCGTAGTTGGTTATCCGCTGAACTAATTTGTTGCTGTAATAATTCCACCTGTCTTTCCTGCTCCCGACCTTTGTTTTCCCAGAAGCCGATCTCTGCGTCGTACTGCAAAATTGTAAAAAGATAATGTAATGCGATAGAATACAGTTGGTTCAGTAAGTGAGCTAAATGGGTAGTTTCCAGGGTATCAACATTAAAAATCTAATTAGTCTGTCAGTTAGATAATGAAAAAATATTAGACACGTATTTTTTTATTTTCACGTATTAAGTTGCAATACTTAGATAAAATGGGGCTACGTTTAGGAGTGGGAGGCCATTACGTCATAAAGTGCAACAAAATGTGGCACGCTGTGACGTCACACGATATTTCAAATTAATATATCGCCGAAAGTATTAAATTTTGTGAGAAAAGTATAAATACGTGTCTAAAGTTTTAAATTAATGTATCAGACGGACATTAAAATAAAATTTAGGAAACTACCCTATTGTTGCTTAGCTTTTTGTAAATCCAAACAGGAAAATTTACAATGCTTTTAGAAAATCTCTTTAGGGGTCTACATCCTAAATTCACCTGAAATAAGTAGTACTTTTACTTTATTAATACATCAACATTATCTACGGACCTTGATAAGATCCACTTGTTGACTCGAAAGCTTCTCCCTTTGATAATTAACTAGAGAAACCAGCTCCCTATACTGATTATTATAGCTGACTGCCTCGGGACTCCTGTTTTCCTGACTCTCTTCTGGCAAGTTCACGGGAGACATGTGCTGTGGCCTGTTCGGACGCATGCGGTTCGGAGACTTCCTGACTGCTTGATTCGGTGGGGGCGGCGAACGATATGGCGGTGGTGGTTCTCTGTCAAATTGTCAAATATGGAAAATAATGAACATAGACAAAAGTACTGGTGACAAAAACTTTTTGGTTATCATCAAAAACTTTAGACTTTTGTTCATTAAAACAGGACTGAAACGAAATGTTATGAAAATATACATATAGGTGGATTCCATTGATTTACCTCACTCTGAACACTGCAAACTGATTACTACATAGTGCAATGTGTCACAGAGGTAAATAAAAGTGGGACATATAAAGTGTGTTAATGAACAGTGTTAGCAGATACCAATAGTGTCATTTAATACCTATTAGAATTGTAGGACGAGAGTCGTTACGAACTTTTTTTAAATGATACTACTGTAACTATACCTCCGTCTATCTCCTCTGGCTTTAAGGAGTAACAAGGAAACTTAAGTTTAAAACCTTAATAATTAAGATTTTTATGTGTATACTCTATAATATGTGAATAATTTAATAATAATTAAGATTTTTATGTGTATACTCTATAATATGTGAATAATTTAATGAAATATTTATGAATCATACATGAGATATGTCAGGTAACAGTTACAAGGAAATGATGATTCACACAAGATAAAATGTGACAAAAGTATTCATAGCCTAACTCTCTACTTATTTAGTTAGATAATAGTGTAAAAAGAGAAAGAGACAATCAGTTTTAAACTATATTGTCCAAAGCAAAGAAAGGACATTGTTTTTTTATCAAATATTTTAGTACCAAGATAGATTGAAATAGATAGATGATTATTAACACTTTAAAACTATGGTGAATTTGGGATTACCATAACAATAAGTAAAAAGGAATAGGGTAATAAGCTTGGAGATCTCTATCATAGTTAAATACTAAAAAAATATTTAAATCAGACAAGACACAAAATATCTTTTAACCAAATTTCAAAAAAGTTCACTCCAGTGGTGTACCTAAAGGTCAGCAAAATGCCACAGGCCCCCAACTGAAAAGAGTTTCCATCAGAATTTCTCTATTTTTTATTGGGAATGGTGGACCATCTGATGAATATGCCACAGGCCGCAGAGGGTATAATTACACCACTGCATCACTCATTACATGTTTAAATAAGAATTCAATGTCTACCTGTATGGCGGTACATCTTTCAGCACAGGGCTGTCAGACTCAGGTGTTTTGGCTTGCTGCACTCCCTTGACTACTCCAACAGGGTTGCCAGGTGATGTATTATTTGGATTACTATTGCTATAAGTAGGTGTTGTTGACATCCTATTTGGTGAGTTCTGGCTGTCAAGCATGTTAGGATTTGATGCAGTATGGCCCCTAGGAGGATAAATTAAAAACATTATTTAATAAAAAACTACCTAGATTGTCATTGTTAAAAATCTATAGATGATTTTGTTCGTTAAAATATCATTAATGATGATAATCTCATTCCAATAAATGTCTGGTGAGGATTAAAAATAAAATCAGACTCTTTTATATTTAAAATATGCATAACTAGTACTATATTATTAGTATTTAATAAAAATGTGTAAAATTATACATCTTTAGAGTTTCCGCCTTACCCATTTCCTATAGGAGACCTGGAACTATTGGTAGGTTGTTGTTTCTGGTTGTTGCCAGAGTCTGACCGTCTTAATATAAACTGAATATCATTGGAGTACTCTCCCCATTTCATTAGGATCTAGAAACAATTGAATGTCAATGAAGTTTGGAAGTTTAGCTACAAAATTACAATGAAATAAATATTGTAAAACAGAATAATAAAAGAATCAACTTTTTGGATTATATCTAAGTGAATATACTTAATGAAATGATCAGTAAGCATAACAGACAATCCTAAAGTCGTTTTAGTATTTCTGCAACTCATTGACTTAAAAATAGAACACAAGATACCTTCAGGGGATATTCCTGTGGCGCCAGTAGCCGCTCATTATTCCGCCACCGCTCTATCAGAGTGAATCTGCCCACTTTGCCAGTGGCATGAGCTAATGCAAAAACTACATCCTGTGTAAATAAATATTATGCTATTAACAAACATCGAAAGTTACTAAAAGTGAAATTGAATACACATATCTTCCAAACCGTGTCACTGGTATAATCATGAGAATAGAAACTCTACACTGACCTGGCAGGTTGTGGTCTCAGTAACCCCACAAACAATCCTTTGTATTCCCTCGACCCAGACCTTCAGCTCCATTAATTTCACACTGTTCACATTCAACTCATAAACGACATATTCACTTAAGATGTCATTTTATCACTTTTTGACCAACGCGAGATTTTTTCGTCTCACAATATAAGTCTAAAGTTAACACAAACATACCAACAACACAATAAAGAAAAATAAAAGCTCCAAGTGGGTTATGAATTTATGAGAAATTTTCGTTTAGAAACACGTCGCTGACATAAGCTTGACATGACAACCACAGAGAATGTAATGTAATGACAGTTTTTGTTTGCTATTTAACCATAGATTTAAAAAAGTGTGTGGCTCGTTTTTATATAATTTTTGCTAAGGACGAACCTCTGAAAGCTTAATTTAAACCTAATAAAACCGATGTTAACAAAAACAATTATTGGAATTTACACTTTCATGGCCAAACAATTGACTATAGTCCATGAAATTAATAAAATATTACTAAAATACCATTTCGCAACAAGCGGCAAGTTCAAATTTCAAGGATAGATTCAAAAGCTTTTATCGAAGGTTTCTTTTATTTCTTTATTTCTAGGTACCTAACAATAACAGATTATCTTTAATAAAGTATCGTATATCCTGAAGAAAAATAAAGCCCAAAATCTACATTCTCAACCCAAATTTAAACCTGAACTTTCATAAGTTCACGGAATAGCGTGCTGATTTCAAAAAGTTTGCACTGCGGAGTGACAGTTAATATTTATGATCATTGTTTTGTTCGTGCATTGCCTAAGGTAATATTGATTTTTTCAATCATAAAGCGATTAATCGTTTACTTACTTTCACGAAGAAATCACTGAAGAATCATGGCGGCTCCGGCACCGGCAGGGGCACAGGCACCGGCACAACAAGCAGAAGATGATGACGACGTAAGTACCTACTTAATAACACTTAAGACAAAAATACCTCCACAACAATTCAAATCTCGTTCAGACACCAAATATCGTAGAATTTGAATTTCTATAATTGTATCACCACCATGGACTTTTATAGAATGTAACATTCAACGTCGAAGAAATACAAAAAATCGTGAGGGACAATGTAGAGCTGTGTTTGGGGGGCAACACGTTCAGCCACACACGGAGCGCACAATGGATTTCAATCATTACCGATAAAACTCTAGCGAGATTAAATAAACTGAACAAACCCTTCAAATATATCGGTAAGTAGAAATTTTTGTAACCTTCCTGCTAGTAGGCACCTACTTATATTTCAGCTATTCTCAAACATAGCTATGTATGCAGTAAGTACTGCAACCGCCAGTTGCAACTTCGAGCAGTACCAAGTTACCAAGCTGATAATCTTTTATACTTTAGCAAGGCCATCTGGAGTACCTAGAGGCCATTCTAACTAGCCTACCTACGTACGCTGTTATATAGAAGTACATACCTATTTACTATTTTTAGAATAAAATTTAATTTATCACTTTTGTACCCGCAGTGCGAATTACCATTACCCAGAAAAACGGAGCGGGCATTCACACGGCGGCAGCATATTACTGGGATACCGCAACTGATGGTAGTTGCACCGTGCGTTGGGAGAACAAGTACATGTACTGCATTGTCAATATTTGGGGCCTTGCCCTTCAGCTTTAGATAAAAATGTACATAGCTTAATTTTTCGACTCTCTTGAGGTAAGTATTTGTCATTGCGAGGATTGATATTTTATGGCGCCATTCGTTACCATCTACGGCATTGTGATCATGGGGTGCTTATACTCTCCTGTGATAACTTAGTGCTTGAGGGCTCGAGTGTGGACAGGTACCACTCGTACGCAATGTTTGGCGTCCTCATTCTTGCCACATGAAAAAAAGCAATCTGTTTTCGACCTTCGATTTTAATATAATTATAGGCACAAACTTCCGGGGTCAAGTAAAAAATAAGACCCTTTTTTGTGTCACATCGATTCTACAAAGCGACATCTGCAAATATTTTTTGTCGCAATTAAATCGTTTAATCGGGATTGTAAACATCTTGATCAGTAAATAAAACAAAATATAAAGCACATTTTAGTATTTTTATTTTTGGTAAAATTTACCACAATACAAAATAATGATAGAAATAAATAAAGTAATAAAATGTATAGACAGGTCATAGAACTATGCATTGTAAAATTGGTGCTTTTAAAGCAATTTCTTTATAATTTATAATAACATTAGGCAAAATGGCATTGTGTACATTTAAAAATAAAAGCATTACTTTTAACACAAATAATATCAAGGGCAGATGCAATACACTTAATAATTAACGCAAAATGATTCATCACTTGGTGATTTGGTCTTTTGATTTCTAATTAATTCATTTTTATGTATATGTTGCCGCCAAAGTGATGCTACGTCTGAGCTCATTGACTGATCATCTAACCTTCAATTCTAAATATACTATACACTCACTAGAGAACGGAAATATTATTTGGCAAAACAGGATGAACGCTCGCCAACTACAGTCGACGCTTCATTTCCTTTAGGTGTTCTCAGGTGATATAGTTATATTTTCGTCCAATGGATTAAACTGTCAAACACCAAGCGGTCACCGGTGACCGCAACCTATTGTTCTTTAATTGTGTCTATAAATACGGTACTCGACGAGTTAATTTGCTTTAAATATGTCTAATTAGGTCTTAAGTTGTTCAATTTCATTAATTCGTTGATTTAAGAATAATCATCACAATATCGGGAACATATACATGGAGTCACGGAGCGATTACCAATGGAAGAGTGAGACTGCGTCTCTGGGAGCCCCCTTTATGTAAACAACTTGATATTATACTGAACTCCACTGCTCTCCCTACACCAACCACGGCTCGCACCGCCACTGTACACACGACTAACAAAATGCACATATACACAATTTTAAAGCATTCATGAGTCTACTAAACAAATCCACTTCATTATAAAACATTTACAATTGATATAGTCCATTGTTAAAATCGACATAACCATTACGGTTATATCTGTAAAATAACTTTACAAAAGAAATGTCGAGGAAAGAGGAAAAAGAAAAGCATGTTAATCTTATGTCAAAATAAAAACTACATCTTTAAAAATATTGTGTTAATCTTAATAATCAAAAGTGATTAAAATTACCTGTACTTTTATTATCATAAACTCGATGTAGGCTATAACTTCGACTAACTTCTCGTATCAAATGTAAACAAAATATAACAACCTTTTTATAAAAAGAATGGCTTATAACCGTTATGGCTACGTTCACATCATTTCAGTTCTAAAACCGATTGGACTAGTCTACAGATATATCCATACTGGCTGGATAATATCAATTTAAAACACTGATGGGAACACAGTCAACACAGTTTACATACAACAGAATGTTTATCAGCAATCTCTTTTTAGTTTTAAATTACATCTGAAATTCAGGCTGTTTGTCTACGAAAGTGGCTCAATATTATGCAATATAAACTAGTAGATATGTTGATCAAAATGATAAATCCCGCTTTGGAATTCGTTTTCCTAATAACAACTAAATAACACTAAAATATCAAGATCCGATCCACTTACTAAATGAATATTGTGACTGACGTCTAGCTTATACTTGATGGCTGTACAAGATCACATATAATGTGAACAATTCTAATAAATAACACAGTTCACGAAAACAATTTTAAATAATATTCTACAAAGTAGACAAACTGCCCATAACAAAATAAAACAAAGGCTCTGACATGACATTTACAAGCAATGTATATCCGCTAAAACAAGACACCTGTATAACAAAGTAGCACACTATATATTTAAACGTCAATTATATGCACAGCTTATTACAACACCAAAATTTTACCTTAGCTATTGTATATTTAGTTTAATAATACCACGTAAAACAAGAGTGGATATAGTAAGGAATGAATGTAGCTAAACTTCTAAAAGAACTTTTAATGTCATGCAATAAGATATATTATCAATAAGTGGTCTATTTCATTTACCTACCTATAGTTGTTTAATATAGAAACCTTATTGACAGCATACCAGACAAATTCAACATTAAAATCCCTTTGATCTTCACATTCCTTGATTCTCGTTTACAGTATTACATTAAAGTATATGACCCATTAATTATATTAGAAATATGGAACATTTATTATTATGTGCATCTTGTTCTAACGTACAAATTTAAAAATGACTAATAGTTACCTCTTAATTCGGGCCTACTTTAATCTGTCCTATTTGAATTTATCTATAAAATACTTGGGGACACATACAAGTTATTTTAATACTGCTATTATTAGATGCAGTAACAAATATATAGTTAACAGTTATTGTATGGCATGGTACCCAAAACGATTCAATGTTCTTTGTTTCTGCATCTAAATCTGTCTATTACTAAAACAATAAATTGTGAAGCAGATTTACTAGCAATTTGACTGATTCATGTGATGACTGTTATTGTGTGATGCATTAAATTCAGTCTATAAATGCTTAGGAAAAAAATGCTATAAAAATTATATTTGCCAATTAAAACAACACACAGGCAATCGATTAGAACATTAAAAATATATAACTTCAAAATTAAAACCAATTAAGCTTTGCTGAAGTAGTATTAAAGCTAACAAATGTGCATTTTTATGATAAACCGTGCTTCGTAACTGGGAGTCATCCACGTGTACATGTCGACGGGACGCGCAGTGCGAGGCTGCGGGCTGCGGCCCTCGCTCCGCGCACTAAATAACTTATTATATACACCGTAAAATATACTCTATAAAGTACAACCTACCACTATGACTACAATAAAACGATTTGTCGTTTAACTCATTATTATGACAGATAATTTCTCTTATTTACAATTTACTATACAATACATGATAAAATTACTAAAAAGTAACATTGTACTTGTAACTTCGCTACCCTCTCGAATGTACTAACTTTATTATTATTTATGCCTAAAGATCCCTCGATATATGTACACATACGCGCTATGTTAGTCGAGACTTAACTGATCACAAGTGAAGAGAAAATATAAGAACATAATGAGGAACAAATATACACTAACTACACACTAACCATCTCTTACCCGACAGATCCGGGGCTAGTCATATCACATCAAAGTTAAGTGCACACACTTAAGCCGTTCGCGAGTCAACTATCCATCTTAAAAAAGTCAACATAACTAAAATATATTTACAAAATGTAAAAACCTATCTCAAAATACGATTTTCCAAATAAATCTAATTCAAAATTATTTTAAAATCCAACAACTCTAACACTGGGTAGATTCAAGAAAGAGATCATATTAAGATTCATATAAATTGTTTTCATGTCCGATAAGGTAGGCTCCAGTAAGTCTAAGTGTCAAGATACGAGGTGGGAGTAACGCGATATGTGAATTTGACTTATTGTCTTACATACGTTAATATGTACACGTAATAATTGTGCTCGACCCAGTATTTCATCATCAAGCATTCATTTCCGCAACCTACATTCTAAATAGGCTTACTTAGAACTCTCACGAGATCCATCGATTTATATTTTGCGGCGAACCGTCAAATATGTCCGTCCGATTACAAGTCACTCACGTTATTACTAAGTTATACGTCTAATTCATTTATGTACTTCTAGGATTATGCTATTCTTTAAGTAAAACCTGTGAGGCTGGAAAATTTACTGATCAAAAACACTACATGACTATCACAAATTAATTGCTACAATCACTGTTTGCAGTATTTTTGTTCGGTTTTACAGCATTTTAAACCTCTTTGATCATAGATCAACACAAGCATAATTGACACAATCAAATCACTCACTCTTAACGGTTGTTCATAGTTAGTTAAGGTACTTGCGGCACTTCTTAGCACCGCAAGTGCACGGTATCTTGACCTCTTCGAAGGGGAACTTGTAGTCGTAGGTGAGCTCCTCCCCGATGGTAATACGGCGCAGGGCAAAGATCAGGATGTGTTTGTGTCCATGGATGTCCACAACGCGCGAATAACAATTAGGCTAAAACAAAATTACATTGGTATTATTAAATTTGCGCAAAAATTTTTACACTACAAATTCCTAACATATCAGTGTCAATATTTCATAGTGAGAGAGACAAGCAAGAAAGAAATAACAAGTTTTTGTTGTATCTATGTATTATCAAACTCACATCACAGGAGTGGTTGATGAACCTCGCTGCGTTGCCCTTGAGCGTGGCGTCCACCACCAAATTGTCGTCGATACGGAACATGTAGCAGCCGCCGACTCCGCGTCGCCCGCTCATAGCTTCATATCGCTTCTCTCTCTGATCCGCCAATACTGCGCGGATCACTTCGCCCGCGTATTCTATTACCATATCACCTGAAAATACCATTTATGAACAATTAATAATACATCATAAGAAATTATTTTAAAGCAAACTAAGAAATAAAATAAACTGATGAAATAATAGACAAACTATTGAACTATTTTTACCTTCTTCAATATCTCGTTTACAGAATAATCCGCGTCCATGAATATGTGATCTGTACACGCCTACGGATGCTTTAGATGTCTCTTTCAGTTGTCTGAATCTCATAGCCGGTGGTAAAGTTGCAAGGCGCCTGAAAATTTAAAAGAGTTTTATTAGTTATGTTTATAAATTGTTTATAGTTTCGTCGAATGACATAGTTGGAAAATATCAAATGCAATATTGTAATACTCACCTAGAAATCGAGCTCTCTCCTTCCTGGCCTCCAAACGGTGGTGGCTCTTCCCTGAAAGGTGACGCCATCCAACTGAACATGTCGTGATTTTGTTTCCTAGCGATTGGTCCGGTACGAGCGCTACCCCACGGACTTTCTTTGAAGCCCTCGCTCAGGTCCAAGTCATTGTCCCAGCTGCTCAACTGACGTCCTTGACGCATCTTGTATTTGGTGCAGCGGCTTGCCTATAAAATTAAAATTGTTATTAGTAAAATATTCAAATGAAGATATGTCATAAAGTAATTACTTGTTTATATCACTTACCCCAGGTAGTTGTTCGACAAGATATCTCAATGCATTGTTGTTTAGTCCCAGGATATGTGCCCCTGATAGACTAGCAGGCAGGTTGTACTGGATCGGTGGCATTCCCGACTGCTTTCGGGCATTTTGTACAGCCTCCACAACTTTTGCCCACAAGTCAGTCAGCGAAGAAGAGGTGTAGTTGAAGCCGTCTTCTGATGTTACTTCATAAATTAGTTTAGGCCCATCATCCTTCGCTGGCTCAGGAGCAGGCTTAGGTGTGGTGGGTTTATTCTCCTTCGATATTTTATTCTGCTTCTTAGTCGCAACTGGTTCTACATCGGTTTTCCTGTCTCCCAAAGGTCTCTTCATAACTTTACTGGAAGCACTGGGTATTTTTGGTGCAGCTGGAGTCCTGTTAGTATCTTTTTCTGTAAGCACTTTAGGTGGTTCGACATCGATCATCTCTGCATCCAAATTCGGTAAAGACATCTTAGAGCTGGTTTCAGTGGCCTCAATGATTCTACCAGTATCCATGCTCGTGGTGGCAGTACTTGTATTGGCCTGGTGTATTTCGGCCGATAACTGCAAGGCCTGAGCAGCTTCCCTTTCTTCTTTTTCTTTCTTGGCTTTTTCCAGTTCCATCATACGCTTTGATTCTTCAATCGCCTTTTCTAGATCGCTATCAATAGTGTCATCTTTTATATTCAAATCTGGCATATCGTGACTCACCGGCCTCTGTTTGGGCACTGCAACAGTTTTGGTGGTCTTTGTAGATGACTTGCTTTGTCCATCTCTATGCAGAGGCAGTACTCTGTTCATAGGTCTCATAGACATTGGGTTGACGACGTTAGTAGGAATGCCCGATTGCTGAGTAGGAGGTGCTTTTGGTAATGATATGCTGGAACTATTCTGTGTCGGCAAATTGATGGTATTGTTCGCCACAGGCATACACATCAGATTATTAGCGTTATTTTGATTTTGCAGTAAGTTGGTATTTGCCTGCAGAGGGAAGTTTATGTCAGCTGCAGCTTTAGAAGCGATTTTGGGATCTACCAGATTGTTCTGGACCGTGATATTAACGGTGTTGTTGCTCGAGTTTACGTTAATGTTCATAGGAGCACTATTAGGTATAGCCTGGAATGGTACATTGATCATGGTACTGCTGCTGTCGTTACTTGGTTGGAAAGCGAGAGGATCAGTCGAAATACCAGCGACGTTGGCGTTGGTGTTATTGGTGACCACACGTATGTTATGTTGTTGTGGCACATGCTGATTAATGTTGCTCTCCAGATTTGCATTGTTCATTCTGTTCCTCTCAGGTAAATTGATAACTCTGTTGTTATTTTGAGGGTTCATTTGCAAATATCCAAGTTGGTTGCTTACAGATATCGTATGGTTTTGCTTTTCATTATTAACCATATTTACTTTAGAACAGTCTTTGTTATTTGGTATATTTGGCATGGATAAGTTGTTAGTTGGAGGAGGACCCATTAAATTTTTACCTCGTAGAGTGTCTTGTGCAAACTTAGGCGGGTCTGGCACTGGGATAGTGTTTCGGTTCATTTGGTTATCCATATTAGTAATACTTTGACTTTGTGATGTATTGTTGGTGCTCATGCTGCAACTACTGATATTCATTTGAGAAGTATTAGCTACTTGGTTGCTGATCATTTGATTCTGGTTATTAGCAGTGTGATTTTGGGAATTATTTAACATCATGTGGTTAGAAGTTCCCGACATGAGATTGTTCACATTGTGATCAGTAGAGTTGGAGCAACTCATTAACATGTCGTGGCCAGTCATATTGTTCTGACTGCCTGGTCCATACATATTGCTGTTGTTTACATTGTTCATCATCATATTGTTCGACATGTTCGAGTTGTTAACATTCATGCCATGGAGCATGTTTCCTGTGCCCATACTCATGTTAGTTTGGTTGGTATTCATATTCATATTGGGGCATATCTCCATTGTGTTTTGATTGTTGGGGAACGGCGTGCTATTATTGGAACAGCTCCCACTGCAAGAGCTTTGTATGTCATTCTTTATATCAGGAATGTTCGGCATGTGCATCATTGAGCTGTTCATTGATTGATGATTAGTATTGACAATTTGCATTGTACTGTTGAGGTTGGAGTGCATGCTCATATTGTTCATAGTGTTCATTTGGTGTTGCATCATTGAAGAATGTTCCATGGAACTCCTGTTGTTCTGTATTTGATTCATAGCATTCATATTTTGCATGTTCATTGAGTTACTGTCGTATCTATTCCCGTGAATATTTGGCATAGAGCCAGAGTTATCCATCTGGCTGGCTAAATTAATATTTGGGGCATTTCCCGACATATGATGCATATGTATATTGTTATTGTCCATCTGCTGTCGGTTATGCATTTGGTTTGGTACATGTTGATGCATATTCATCATATTGCTGTCAACATGGGGTCGATTATTTTGGATCTGCATCACATTAGACATCTGGTGTTGGTGATGAAGACCAACATTGTCCATTTGCCTGTTCTGTTGCATGGACATTTGCTGGTTAACATGCATGGTATTGTCGATTTGTCCTCGAGAGTTATTCGGCGTGTGATGATTCATCTGCTGCATGTTATGCATTTGGGTATTGTGCATATTATCCATAGATCTGTTGGAATGCATATTATGACTCATGTTACCCATACTATGAGATTGCATGTTGTCAATCATCATTCGATTATTTTGCATGTTCATGCTTGTCATTGTTTGTTGCATGTGCATATGGTTGAGATCGCCCAAATCAGACCGATTTATATTGTGGCTGTTGGCTCCCAAATTATGCATGTTCATTGACTGATTCATAATGTTGGTGTTGTCAGGAGTGCTCCGGTTGGAAAGCATATTTGTCTGATTATGACTTTGTTGTTGACTCATCATATTTTCGTGGAAGTTCCTAGTTGGAGTTTGTTGATTAATCGGTTGTAATTGGTTATTCTCAACTTGGCGGTTATGTTGAATTTGTCCATTCATTATGTGGATCTGGTTGGGGGCTGGGATTTGATTATTATCATGCGACATCATCGGCATATTGTTACTGTGAGACATGTTCGACGTATTCATAGAACTAGACATGTCATGTTGCTGGTTGGACTGCATACTGTTGTCGCTAGACGCTGAGATGTTCATTCTACTATTAGTTGTTTCTTGACACGACATATTCATATTTTGCAGTGAGTTATTGCCGGAATTCAATATTTGCACTTGTCCATGAGAACTATTATTAGATAACGAGCACATTTGGTTTTGATTATTAGGTACAGAGATAGTATTCTGATTGGTCTGTAGCTGCGGTCGCATTACATTATGAGGAATGATGCTAATTGCAGGCGAGTTGTTGATATTGCTGCTCATCTGGCAGTTACTCAGCTTATGAGTGTTCATCTGACTGGACAAATTATCGGTGTTATGCTTGTTTTCCACAGGTCCCATGTTTTGGAAAGTTTTGTCATTGTTAGCATGTTGTTGTGAATGCGAAGCCATTATCTCTTGTGAGAAATTCAAATGGCCACCTTCAGTTTTCGATAGAGCATTGATTTTGCTCAACTTTAATGAAGTATCTGCATCAAAGTTACTGTTCATTGCTGAAGAAGGTGGGTAGATGTTTCCAGCAGTAATCTGAATAACATTGTTTGATGTGGTGTGTGATGTTGAATGATGGCTCACATTGAGGCTCTGCTCGAATTGGTGAGAATGCATATTCATGGTCGACATCGAGCTGTTGGGCATTTGTATCAAACAGTTCTGGTTGCCCTTGTCATGATCATTGTTCAAATGCGACCTTCCGGCCATTACATTGCTCTGGATATTCATTGAACTGGTATTGACGGAACTCGGCTTCACAGTTATATTTTGATGTTCTATTTTGTTATCCATACTGGTATTGATGGGCTGATTAATTTGCCTCCATGGTGTAGGCGATTTTATGCTTTGTGTCACACTGATAGTAGGCATATTTGCATTGTTTGAATTATCATGCAGATTGCCACCACTGATTTCAATTACATGAGAGTTCTCAATCTTGTAATTGGTCTTAGCTGGTGGCGCAATAGAGCTCGAAACAATGGGCTGCGTCAACGGTATTGACTGCATAGGGAACGATGTTGCTGGCACCGATTGAGAGATTGCCATGACAGGCTGTCCGGTCGATGAGACGAGTGTTACATTTGGAGACATCGACACAACACTGGGTTTAGGTATATTTCCTCGTTGAATATTCTGTGGCGAGCTAGAAATAGTCATGCCGTGAATTTGTGAAGTAATAGGGTTTATGCTTTGACGGCCAGAGATAATAGTTGGACCTGATTGAGAGCCAACTGTTAGCGGCGCAGGGCTCATTTGTATTACTTTAGGTGTCTGTCGGTTGTTATTGCTTGACTTATCAGGCAGCGGTTGCAACGTCAGGTTAGGAACGTTTGCTTTAACATTCTTAATGGATTGTGGCGATGATTGTACTGTTTGCGCAGTAACCACGTTTGGTGTCGACGATACAGCGACGCTGTCCCCTACATTGTTCACCACAACATATCCTGTGGGCACTTCTACGATCGGTTCTATCTTGCTTGCTTGGAACACCTGTGTAGTTGTAGCTGAGAAACTACTGTTTTGTGCTAGCACTCCTTGCATAGCTGTTGATACAAATTGCTGTGACGACATCACTGTATTCTGGACAATAGTCTCTAGTCCGTAGTATACAGGTTGTGTCGTCGTTAAGTACATGCAGCCAGACGGATCTGTCACCATTTCTAATGTAGGCGTGGAGCCTAGTAGTACTTGGTCATTGCAAAATTGTGGTAATAAAGTGCCTTGTGGTAAGATTGTCGTACCCCCTGGGCCTGAAGAGATCAGTGTATTGCCCTGTGTTTGTAGTGTATTCGGTATGATCGTTGTTTGACCATTGCTAATACCACTTTGTGGCACAACCGTTGCTCCCGCCGTTTGTAATGTGTTATTCGGCAGCAGAGTGGCCTGTGACGTAATATTTCCATTTGTCAATCCTTGTATTGTTCCTTGTGGAATGATGGTAGTTCCATTTTGCGTATGTATCGCTTGTGGAAGAATCGTGGGTCCGTTGGGACCCTGAGATATAATGCCTTGTGTTTGGATTGCACCCTGAGGTAAAATTGTAGCTCCTTGTTGAAGAGCTTGAGGCAATATTCCAACGTTTCCTTGCGGTAACAATACAGGTATGCCACCGCTCGGAACAGCGACCAAACCTCCTGATTCTGTCTGTTGTATTTGGAATGTTTGCGGCACTAAGCCACTCTGGGAAATAAACTGGGTAGGTCCAGTTTTGAAGTCTCCTTGTGGAGCAATGGTAGCGATGTACTGCATGTTTTGATTCTGTTGTTGAGATAATGCCTCTACATAGGCAGACATTATGTTCTGGTTCGAGACTGGCTGCACTATGATCGAAGGTTGGCCTGTCTGGTTATTTGTTTGCAGCTGTATGACAGTATTACCAGGACCAAGGGGAGTCTGGTTGATAGTAGTATAAGTCTTCTCCATTTTCGTTTGTCTTTTGATAGTGGTGGGTTTAGGAATTGGACGTCCTCTACCACGATTTGTTGTTTGGAACATTGGTTTTGGTTGAACCTGCGTTGGTTGCTTTTTGGGAGACTTCTGCGTGTTTCCTGGTAATATCAATTGTTGTTTGGTTTGAGAATTTGGCGATTGTAGCCTCTGCGCTGTCATTGCAGGAACAACGATAGTAGGATTGCCTTGTATCTGAGGTCGAATCATTGGTTGAATGTTTTGTATAATAGACGTATTTGGTATTCCCTGTATGGAGTTCACTGGTAGTGCAATTGACGATGCACTTGCCATATTAGGGAAGTTGGCTACATGGTTTTTGCCTTGAATCATCTGTCCTTGGATCATACCGCCTTGTTGATTCTGAGGTATAGTTAGGACCTGGTTGGAGTTGGATGATATAACTTGTATTCCACCTGGTCCTGATAGCAGCTGTGTCATATCATTGCCTTGTATTTGCTGTATATTAGCGTTTCCAGTGCCTGGTTTCACGCAGATATTATAGGGCAGGATGTTAGGTTGTGTAATGATTTGTGGCGTCATTATCTTCTGGCCGCCTGCAGAACTCGTCTTAGGAGGGAGTAGCATCTGTGGTGTCACAACTATTTGTGGTGAAGACATCATTTGTTGGTTCGTAGATACTTGGACATTGGTCGTTTTACTTTGATCGAAAATCACTGTTCCAGATTTCATCTGTTCTGTTATTGTCATAGTCATTTCATTGGAAGGGCCTGGAGATGGGGTTTCCACAATGGTTCCATTGATTGTGATCTGCCTGGTATTGATAGAAGTTCTTCTAGCTGCAATGCCTTCGGCTTTAACAGTATTTTCAGTACCACTGACAACACCTGTGTGTATTATCATAGGTTGTGCGAAAGCGCCTTGGAATGCATTCTGTAAGGTCGTCAATGTTCTATTCTCGGGCGATTTAGGATTTTCACTCTCACTTTCGCTTGTGGACATCATATCACACGACGGGACATGTCTGTCGTACGACTCCTTGTTCCTGTAAGTACATTGGCACCTGTCACATCTTACTGGCTGTTCAATATGATTGGAGTTACCCGAGCCATCATCCAATGGCCTCATCACAAGCTCTGGTTGACCACTTATAGAGTTGCCAGCAAATGTCACAGTATAGCTCTCAGTTCCACTAGCTCGGTACATAAACTGATTGGTCTGTCCTCTTTGCATGTTGTCATTTCCATGGTGGTTGTCTTCAGCGCCATCTAGTTGCTGTATTGGCGTAAAATCATTATCGTTGTCTCGAGGACTGCCTGGCCGGGAACTGCACGTGCTCTCCGAACCAGACCAGTCTGCGGCTCCGTCTAACTGAGAAATGGGGCTACATTGTATTTTAGTATAAAAGTCTATGACGTCTGTATAATAGCCCTCATTCTTGTCTGTTTTGCTGTTGTTAGGGTCGTCCTTTTGTTTAGGTGAAGTAGTACGATACGTGATGCCCGACGAATGCGCCGCCTCCTCACATATGGCACCGCTAGTGCATGTTTCTACTTTCACTTTCTTATCTGTGTTGTCAGCCTCTTTTATCGAATCCATTGGACTCTCTGTGAGAGGTACTCTTTGAACAGGACTCAGCTTTCCAGTCACTGTGGAGGTTTTACCCATTTTGCACCTCTTTATTGTAGAAGACAGTAGACTTGTGTCAAACTTATTATTCCAACTACTAGATCTTTGTTGGCCGCGACCAGTTGTCAAGGTCTTAAGGTTGTGGCTCTGTAAAAGCATTTCGGATTTGCTTCTTTTCAGCTCTTTACTGCCCGTTTCGAACCTTGAGTTAAGGAGTTCATCTATGAAATCTGTCGATCGGAAATCAGATTTGTCATTACTTTTGTCATCTGACTGTCCCATAGCGCAATAGAATTCATTTTTGAGGTCTTGGAATATGTCTTGCATGGATATACCATCAAGAAGATCATGGTTTAGATCTTCGAATATAGCATCTTTGACTTCAGGTGGGAGAAGATCAGCAGTGTTCTGTGGTTCCTCGTCATCCTGTTGTTCCTGTTTACACACATTATCTAGCAAGTATTCCACAACTTGTTTCACAGCTAAATCTTCTAATGTCACTGTATTACCACCAAACTTGATTGGTGACTTGTCGTTTTTAAGCATAAGAACAGACTTGCCAGAGCCAGTCTCAATACTCTCATGCCAGGCACCAATTTCTGCCATTACTCTCTCCACAACATGAACATCTAATGTGTGGTCTACTGTAATGTTCACACCAAAGTCAAAGCCTGGCAGTGGCTCGGCAAGTATTAGTTTAGTTTTGATAGTATATCTTACAATTTTAGTAGGCTTCTTACAAGACCAGAAAAGACGCGTACACGAAAAGTCTACAGGCATTAGAAACTCTTCATAGTCAGACACAGATGGAACTATTTTGCCGAGGCTATGAACTGTTAGGGAACCCAGTATAAATTGCACTTTGGTAATTTCACTGTATCGTTTCTTCTTCTTGTCAAGTTCTACATACACTGGCCTAGTGAGTTCGAAGTCGGCATCTTTCTGTAAACTCTTTTTAGGCACGTCTTTGCCATGAGAGGGGCAGAACACCCTCTTGTCGTCCATGAATGCACAGGTCGCCTTCCTCGCACAAGTATAATGATATGTCTCACTACAGTTCTTAGCACAGCAGCCAACACTAGCACCTTTCACTTCGCATGCCGCACATTTAATCATCTTCCCTCTGGATATAGCAGAGTGGACATTTTGCAAAGATCCATCAATTTCTTCAAAGACCTCTGCTGACCACAGTGCACAGTTGGAATGAATCCAGTCGTTTTGTCCACAATAAAGTAACCGCCCCTCCATGGCCGGGGACCCATCACCCACAACTTTGCAAAGTACACACACTCTGGAGTCCACCAGTGGATAGAACTCTAATAGATCTTCTTCTAATTTATCACTGTCAGTTTCTAGTTTAGGCACAATTTGATCCATTGGGCGTTCAATAGATTGTACAGCAGCTTTGATTTTACTGTCAGCAATAGCAAGATCTTTCATGGATTCGGAATCTTCCTGTTCGCCTTCTACTTCCAGGTTAGGTTGCAAGCAATTGTTTTCACAGTCAAACCAAGGGAATGTCTCTGAGAATAAGTCCTTGTATATTGAAGTAAGGTCATTACTTGTTGTTCTTTGGATGACCTCCTTCATATCGTGGTTGAAGTCTTTTAGTGATACATATCCATCACTATTTACTCTTTTCTTGATGTCTAGAAGTGACGGTGAAATGATTCTATCGCCGTCATCACTGGTAGTATCCATATCAGATTGTCGTAACACAACTGGACTTAAGTCCTGCTCGCTACGAGCTTGTGGGAATCCTTTCATGGGCTCATCGTCATCTGATATCGCCTCATACTTGTCGTCGTGTATTGTTGTCGGCAACATTGTAGTGGCCTTTTCAGACTTTGGTTGTGGAGGATAATTTTCATGGACCTCAACACATGATGATTCAAATTCAGTTTTAGTACCGTATAGTCCTGTAGAGAAGCATATTTCCTTATTCTGCATCAGTGGCTCTTGCAGATTTACAACTTTGTGTGATGTGTGCGGAATTTCTTCTTTTTCCATGTCAACGTCTTGTAGCAATGATGGGCACTGCCACGCGTGTGGCGCATGGGACTCATCGAATTTGTTCTGCGGTATATTTCGCCTTCCTCTCGCAGTATTTCTGTATACTTTAGTCTCAGAAGTCTTTATGGAAACATCGACGACATCAAACTGAAGTTTTCTAATAGCTTGGGGTGACATGAGCCGGTAAGGTTTGTTCGGTACTGGCGTATTTTTATGTGGTGTCAATTTCAGTAACGCGCAAGCCTTCTTATTCTTGGCAAGCAACTTTAGAAGATGTAGGAGTCTTCCTTTGAGGTGTTCAGTGAGCATTTTCCTCCATGGGGGATCGACTGGCATACACTTACAGCAAATGTATTCTATTGAAGGCGGCAAAGCTGATAGTAACTGATATCCTTCACCTGTCAGACCTTCACAACTGGCGTGGACCCATCTACCACACCAGCCACACTCCATCATCTGGAAAGGCACAATAATGCATGTTAACCTTGATCAAATGGTTTTTATTAATTTAATTACAATTACTTAATATAACAGAACTTACCTTGCTATCAAAGTCATTATCTCGGTAACAAGCCTGGCATAGTGGGCAGTAGTTGCCTTTCTGCCGCAGCTTGAAGCAAGGCCCGCAGAATGGCAGGCTCCCTACGAACTTGCTCACTCGGCTGCTGTCACAGCTTTTACACTTCAGGCATGCACTGCAGATCTGGAAATTACATTGAACAATATTTAAGTAAACATCAACAGAGAGCTGAGCCTATTAAATAGTAGTGACAAATGTAGATAATTAAGACTTACATACATTGAATTGCAATAACATCATAAACTATTGAAGAAAATAAGTAGTGAAACACCATGGAAACATGGCCAGAGACTGAAAAGTGTTGGTAAACCAACCAACTAACGTAAATAGTGGAATTATGTATCGAGTTGTAGTGTTTAGTTTGAACATTGATTTTATTTTAGATTTTAGAACAGTTTTAGAACAGAACCTGCGGCCAGTCGGAGCGATGGTCGGGCGGCGGCGCAGGCAGGCAGGCGGCGTGGTAGTGCGCGGCGCAGGCGCGGCAGCGCAGGCGGGCGGCCGGGCGCGCGCAGGCGGCGCAGGCCACGCAGCGCGCGCACGTCCAGCCGCCGCCGCCCGCCGCCTCCTCGGCGCACCACGCGTGGTACCACTCGCAGCACGACCAGCACACCAACATCTGCGCCACACATTGTTACACACAAACTATACCAACTGTTTTGTAAGCCCTTCAAATAAAAACAACTATTTTGAGTTCTATAAAAACAAAAGACAATCGCTAGTTAGGTACTGGCTTTTAATCCGTCTGGGTAGCCCAGTAAGCAAGACCAAATTGTACTTAAAAAAAAACTATTGTCAATAATTAAACAGTGCTATTGGCTCTTTATTCCGCCTTTGGGGAAAAATTGCTTAAGATGCTCTAGTCTAGAGGTAGATATTTAATCCACTTCTCTCATAACACAATTTTTTTCCCACAGGTCCACATTACCTACACATTGCATTTGGATTTAAATACTAATTAAATAGACATAAACAAAATGCTATTTCTACATCTAAAACATTGATACTTGGCTGCTAGTGCCATGAGGTTGGCTATCATGTAACTTACCTGCCTAAGGTTGTCATGACAGAAACTTACGAGAGTTGCCATAGCAGTAATTAGAGATTATGCACTCTTCTGTATAAAATTATAATTGTGCCAAATTAGATACAATAAGTATCGCCGTCACTCTCATAGACAGTAAATACACAATGGTTTTCCTTAACTTAAAAAGTAATACATTAAAGTGATTATTTACAAGTAATAACAAACTTATGTTACTCTATGTGCCCTGTAAATAGATTTGTTAGCAAATGGTATTGTATTTGCAATAATATTATATGTCTTAATTATTTAATAATCGTAGTATTTACCTTCTCCTTGCCTGCACTCCCGCACAGGAAGCACAGTCTAGCAACAGTGAATGAGCCGGTGCCAATAAGTCCAAAGCCTGAGCTGCACACTTCATCAGGGTCGTAACTCTCCCAAAAGTCAACACAAATGAGCTCTGGCCTATTTTGTCCACATTTCTGAGACCTACTTCGAACCTGCAAAAGAATAATATTAGATCATAATCACTTCAATCCTACTGTATCTTTAGTACATATATTAAATAACTAAAACTTACATTAGTAATGTTAGTAAGAGGCTTCATGAATGTCTTCTTAGGTACAAGATCCATTACAGTCTCATCTTCACTAGATTCAGCTTTGCTTTGTGCTTTGACGGGGATCGGCTGTTCAATCTTCCTCTTCTTAGGCTCGACCTGCACTTCTACATCACTCTCTTTAGAAACAATTGCATCTGAAATGATCTGAGGAGCTTTGTTCTCAGAATCTATCTCAGATTCACAGCTGGACAAGTCAGGAGTCTCTCTGTCTTTCTCCATAATACACAGAGCACCCTCATCTTCAGCGGAAAGACTCTTCTCCTGCTTTTCTTTCTCATCTTGTGTGGGGAATGTAGCAATGGGCTGTCCCAAGACAATAGATGCACTCCTACAAACATGTTTCACTCTTGGTCCTTTGAGTTCCACCTTTTGTCTTTTAGGGTCCTCTGTTTGTTTAGTATCAGTTTTATCTTTTTTCCTAACTTTAACCCTTGTCAACTGGCGTTTTCTATTAGCATTAATTTCTTCGATAGATTCACCAGTGACTGGACGGTCTTTAGTAGGCTTTTCCTGAAATATCAAGAATTTGTTATATAATTTGCTCTTTTATTTTAATCAAATTACATGCATTCTGTTATCTATTGAAAAATGTAAAATAAAAATATAATAAGAAAATAAAAGAAGACACAAACTGTCACATACCTCTACTTTTTCAATTTCCTCAATCTTCTTACTTGGCTTAATAGTGCCGAAAATCTTACTATTTTCGTTGTCTGTATTAGTAATAGCAAACACTGGTGTATTTGGGGTAGTGTTGCTTGCTATTCTCAGGGGGTTTGCCTGTGTCAAACAACCAGGCGTTTTAACAGCTGACCTCATGAAAGGAGGCAACATTGCCGTGAGGCCAGCTCTTATGCTAGGTGGTACCTGGAATGCCTTTAGGCACATCTTGAGCCAGCATGCTGGACATCGAGCTTTGTTAGTGCACCGTAGTAGCTTCCATTGTTGGGAACGGACAATTGGAGGTACATGACAATTTCCTGAAAACACACTTTTTATTACACTTCTACTTCATACAAATATCTATTTATAGACAGTATAACAACAAAGTCAACTGACCTTCGCCTTTCAAACACTGCATAACAACTTGACCTGACTTTTGTGATAACTTTTCTTTCTTCAACATCTTAGATATAAACTTGCGGCATGATTCACATGAATATATTCCAAATTTTCTTGCCTGCTTAACAAATCTATAAAACCTTACAGCACCACAAACTCCACATGTTACTGTTGTTGGGGGAACTGGAGCTGTAAACATTTAAGTCAAACAGTTTTACAAAAGTTCTAGGGAAATATAAGTGAATATAATGTTGCACATAAATCAATTAAATACTTACAGGATGAAGATGTTACAGTAGAGAAAGGACCATCTAAAGCTGATGTGGACTGGGTTGGTGGATTCAATTGTAATCTTGCTTCTCTAAGAATTATTTTTCCTCTGAGCAATTGAGATGCAGATGATTTATCTTTCTCTGGACTGGCGGGAGGTGGCTTTTCTTCTTCATCTCCACTTCCAGCAGGACTAGCACTGTCCCAACTGTCCTCAGACTCAGATCCACTGCTAGTACTACTTGAACTACTTGCATCAGAAATGTCCATGAGTTTCCTCATTGCATGACCTGTTCTATCTTCCTTGGGTGGTTCAGGAGATTTTAATTTTTCAATAGTCTCTAAATTAGAGTTTTCATCCTGGGAAGGTTCTTTCTCATATGAGAACAGATCATGTACTTTTCTATTGCCAACACTGAGACTTGAAAATGAGTTTGATGTTTTGTCTTTGAAAAGATTTGAAGATTTTAATGGTTGTAATTGAGTATCTTTAGCTTTTTCATTCAAGTTACTTTTTTCAGTGTCTTCTTCATCTGGTGTGTCATCATCATTGTGCAAGTTGTTAAACACTAACCTCTTTAGTTTAGGCTTTTTGAGTACTTTACTTGATGTTATTGTGCTACTAGTGGTTGTTTGTTCCTCACCATCAATGAACTTCTTATTTGGCTTGATGACTCTTGATGAATGAGCACTTCTGACAGGTAACACAAATTTTGTAGAGCTTCCACTGTCTTTCTCAATCGGTGATGCATTCCTGGGTGGAGGTGACATGCAACGGCTTTCACTAAATTGAGAAAATTTGTTCATAGGCTTTGATAATGGATTCAGATTCTTCCTTAAATAACCCTCGTGATGTTCTGAACTAGATTTTGAGCTTAAATCTGTTAGCTTAGCTGGTTTTAGAATACTATTGAATGTAGAGTACTCTGTTTGTTTCAAAGATGACTTTTTCTTAATAATGGGCACAAGGGGAGCATGATGTTTGAGTGGGATCTTCTTTAGAGGGAAAAATATATCTTCACAACTTTCCACTGTGCCAAAAGTGACTGTTTTCTTCACTGGTTTAGGTTTTTCTCCTTTAACTGGCTCCATTTTGTTCTGAGACCTGGTTCTTACTGGGGATTTAGACAAATCGCTGTTGTTTTTGTCTAGGTGTTCTGTTTTATTCTTTGTTATATCAGTCACTTTATTCTGGCTAGTTTCATCGGCCTCCTTCTCATTATTGTTTTCTTTCTTTTCTTCCTCCTGAAAAGGTTAATGTATATTTTGTCATGTTTTTAAATGAATATTTCACATACTTATTTCATATAAAATACCATTTATTTAGACGAATTAATTATAAAACAATTATATTCAACATTCTATTTGTGTCAACTACACACCAATGTGCTATCACAGTAGTCCCCGAGGCATAACCTTGAGATGTGCATATGCTTTTTTTTCTAATGTTTTTACATATTTTAGCAAAAAGTACTTTTAAATATGAACTGTAACCAAAGTACTGCATGTTTTAGATAAAATCATCAGTATAGTCATGTCAGTTGGCACTAAAATCATCAATGTTTAAGCTGATTTCATTTTGAAAACAATGGTCAAATAGATATCTTGTTTGTACACAATTAAGTTGATTACTACTACTACTAATAATAATAATTCATATTAAAACAGCCAAAGTAATAAGTAGTGGTTAATTAAAACCCGAAGTAATATAAGAAATGGTTGGCGCAAGCTGTGCTAAGAGATGAACAGTGTGTTTTGTGTTGCAATGAAGGTTATGTGTAAAGTAGCAAAATGTTTAGTTTGTTTGTAAATAATATCGTATTTCAAGAGTGTTTATGATCATCATAATACCCAAACGTAAATATAAACGAAACAAATTCTAAACTCTACGATTTACATTTTGTTGACATGAAATGGAACACGCAAATGTCAAAGTACGTAGATACATAGTTGACGCTCTACCTATGCGATTAGCTCTTTGAATGCTAAATGCTACTTTGTTATTACGTAAACACAACATATCCGTGTGTACACTGATATTTTAATGAAACATACGAGAAAATATGTTGAAATCATAGCAAATCTGCTTTACCTCTTGTTCCCCAGCAAAATCATTAGCTGTAGAGCCGCGCGCTGGCGGGTGATTCTCTGGAGCAGTCTCATGGTAAACAGCTCCCGATAGAACACTAATACGTTTTCTGTTTTGGAATTTGAGTGGTTTCCCTGGGAATCTCGACCTTCCCATTTTGATTTGCACGTAAACGAAGAACACTCAGTGCGTTCCTAGCGATTGCGAGGAAACTGGCGCGCATGCTCGGGCCCGCGCGCTCCGCAACGCCATTTCACTCATTTATGCAATGTGTATAACAAATTACGACGCAGTTCTCATCGCATGTACGCTCAAACATAAACACTAACATCACCCTTCACATTATTCACTAAAACCATCACTTAACACTGTTTTTTGCAAAAGACGACATCATCCATCATTTTTAATGGTCGACTGGTTGTTAACGCCGTAGTCGTATCGCTTCCATTCAATTCAACTAAGCGTCAAGCTACTAGTGAAACAAAAGAGAATGTAACGATACTCCCGATTCAACAACACTATGCGTCAGTAACACTGCGTTTTGTTCCATTTGATTATTTATTTTATCACTAAACAAATTATTAAAATTGAATCGCCGTAATTTGACAAAGATGGCTGTTCGCCGCGCTTTAACAATAGCGTACACGAGTGATTAACGAGACGAGGCGCGAGGCCGCGGTGTGAACGACACCTGGCTCTCGGAGGCCAGTTATGGATTTTGAACCAATCGCGACGTTAATTCGGACCGGTATGAAAACAAACATGTCGCTCGCTACAGTACACTCGTTACCTCGCTACTCTATCTATACATAGAGGCGTTTCACTCATTTTTCGTCAATAAAAAGTTATGTTCACTTATGATCTACCTATTATAAACTGCGCGAACGAATCGGGTCACAATAACGACATTTGCTCGCTTTCAATGTTACTAGATATAAGCTAACTATTGATTGTAAAATAAATTATAATTATCGTTTATCATTATTTTGTTAATGTAAGTCTTAATATGTACACTACCTATATTAATAACTCATGTAATCTCTTGATATGATTATCAACAAAGATTACGGAGGGAGCACGAATATTTCGAAGCTATTCTATATTTTGTACTAACGATTATGTATTGAGGAGTCGTTTAAGAGTACCTATTTTAATAATGCTCGGAATGAAAACATCTGCCTTCTCGGATCCTTTTGTTTGCGTCATTTTAATTAAAGCGATCAATTTATAGCCTTCGGCTTCGCAGTATGTTCTCAGTTTGTTTGTTTTTAGGTACCTTCTCAGATTTCATGATTTTTGAGATGTGGATACAAAATAATGTCGATATTTAAATAAGGATTTGTTTTTAACTTGTGGATTCTAATTAATTAGGTGCCAATACAAGTACGATAGAGTTAAGTTTATATCAGATAAGTACAATTAAGTAGTTACATAGGTAATACCTAGATTTATGAAACCATTTATTAAAATATTCTTTTACATAGGCCTACCTACTTTGTGTGAATGAAGCTATTTATGCTAAACTGGTTTGGGTTTATTATTACATACGTAATACATATATGATTTTCTTTATCCTTTAACTAAAGGGTTCTTTTCTTAATGCATAATCAGATAACTATCTGATTATGCATTAAGAAAAGAACGAAGAAAGAACCTACATTGGTTCATACATGTCAATCAAGCATACGGTTTGATCGATTTCGTGATTTATATTTAAAAAACATCTAATCATTGATTGCTAATAAAAAAACTTATTACAGAACGTAGGTATTAAAAGATATCCTAGGATTTGTTTTAGGCATCTTACTTCAGTAATATAAAATAGTATTGTTATAATACAGGTTCTACATATTTATTTACTAATTATAGGTACACTTAATTACCTGCTAAGTATGGTATCTTTCTACCGTATTCCTTTTATTAATAAATTCAAACATTCAACTTATTCACTAAAATTCTTAAATTATTACAATAATGCATTGTACTATCCTCTCTCTAGTATTGCTGTGGGTGACTGCCTATACAACATGCACATAAGTACGACGCGCATATAATACCCGCACCCTACCCTACACCGAACGTGAACCCCAAAACTACCGGTCGATCATGCGTAAAGGGCGGAGAAGGGCTGATAAAGAGGGAAGCTTGTCGGTGTTTGAACTCTAGATAGATTGTTATACTTATAGCTACAGATAAAACTTAGGGATTTTAAATCTAGTGTCGTGAAAAATTTTTACTTGTAGCGACTAAACTTTATACTGACCTCTAGCGAGAATTATGAGAACGAAAAGTTCCTTGCTGAAATGCTTCCTGAAATAGGCACATTGAGTACGCGCGGCATTTCCTCGGACTTGGATCGAAGCGAAACGATTCACAGACACAATTCTCAGTAATTTTCACATAAAACACATTATTTTTCACATGAATTCTTGTAAACAACACTTTCACTATTTGTTGATGTTTTGAAAATAACAATCCGCGTGTAAATATTATGGTAGGAGTAATATTTACATCAGTTTCATTGCGCTGGTGTACGTGCGTGAAACTGTAGTAGCGAGACTGGCGGAGAGACGACGCGCATGTCGCGAGGGACACGCTGTAAATATAAAAATGGACAAACTCCCCTTCTTGGGGGCTCACCGAATGAATCACAGTAAATCACTAATCTGAGATGCAACACGGACAACTTTTTTGTTATATGATTTTGATCTTTGCGGTTGAGAATATCGCGATTAGAGGCGGAAATGCTTTTGAGGTGATTCAAATTTGAGCGGTATTGAATTTTAATGCAAACTTCCGTATAGCTTGTAGCGAAATATTGATCGACGCGACTCCCACCGTCGTTGTTCGACATTTTTAAAGGGCCGTTTTGGAAGGAGATAATCGCTGTAGATCACCCGCCTGCTATCCGTATTGTGCCCAAATCTGAGACCTCTTTTGTGGCAGGTAGCATTTTTTGTATTATTTGGGTCGCATACTAAGGACTTAGGAGAAGGTAAAAAATGACTCATAAGTTGATTTGAAGTTATTTTGTAGTCTACACACATGTGCAGTTTGTGGATTATTGTGTTAGGTAGTATACCTATGTATAGGTAAATTTGCCTATGTAGGTAGGAACGTTTCGAAAGAAGTTTGTTTAATATATCAATCTGAATTCTTCATTTAATGAAGGTTTCTAAAAACTTATTATATGTAAGCAAATCTGCATTAATTAGTAGGTACTGAAACTGTTTACTAACTTAGGTACTATTTTGTTTGGAAGTAATGGATTACGCAAGTTTCTCTTAAATGAGAGGTAGGGTAAAGTCTACATATTATTATAGGTAGTTTAAAATTTTAGGTTTGTGCTTAAAATAAAATTTTGTCGAAAAAAACATATTCGACAAAATTATTTATCATCGATCCATGTTTTTATTTAAGTATAAAGGTAATAAAGATATTTAGGGAGGTGTCTACCTGCCTGCCTAAATTTTATTCACGTAGGTACCTCACTTTAGAGGTAACTTAAATGCTTTATCTTATTAGGGATAATATAAATAAATGCACTGCTGTTCTAATATCTTGTATATTTAACTCGCTGTGATTATATTTTAAAAGAAATAAGTGTAGGCTTATCTAATATAATGTACCCAATATACATATAGATCCTGATCATATATGATAAAAAAATTCCCTGCATACTTATTTTATAAAATAATTGTCGTTACATAACTATGATCTTAACTAACTACTGAAACCGCCTATAGCTAGGGTAGGTTAGTACCTACCCTATTAGCTAGGGTAGGTTAGTACCTACCCTAGCAGCGTACTAGTGTACTAATAGATGAAATGGAATTAAAAAATATATAATTATCCACACACACACCTCAAAACTTATTTTAGAAACTTGATTTGACACCAACCTAACTTATTAACTTAGCAACTTTGTTTTATGAATAGAAACAGGGGTACCTGTTTCTTTTCTATAGCTTTAGTCGGTAGGATAAAGCTGTAAAAATTAATTCAACTTCATTGCAATCGTTGTAATAATATTATTTCTCTATTATTTATTACTTTGTTATAGTATTAATATAAATAATTGTTCAAACAACAACAGGTACAACTACTTTAACATATTTTTAATTTTGAATTTCGCGGGCTTCGTTAGTGATTCTAGCTCGTTAGCAGATTAATGTGTTACAATGATCAAATAAGAAAACATAAAAAAACCGTTACTACGTTTTAATCAACAAATTATTAAATTAACTTTAATTTTTTTAACCATCAAGCCTAACTTATTTCCCATACATCACTATTTTCCTGTGTCGGATGGACAATAGAGAATACACACGCAGAATACTCATTCAGTCCTTTTCATATTTTGACATTCCATTCCACATCGTTTTGCGCGCGTTTTTTCGTGTCATACCATATTCCATTCGACTGGTTTTTACCTGTTTCATTCAACCATTTCTTCGTAATTTACACTTTTATATATTGTAATTTTTATCTCAGTTCAAGATTACTTCCATTAGGGGTTTGATTCAACGACTTCTCTTAAGTTTATCCAAAATGCCTGGCGTAGAACTTGAATTGAAATTCACTCGTCTGACCGAAAATGCGTTTGCTCCAACGAAAGGTTCTGAAAAAGCTGCTGGTTATGATTTGAAGAGGTAATTATTGTCATATAATAATATGTAGGTAAAGGTAAGTATATTTGAATAAGAATTTAGTCTTACTAATAATATTCTCATTATTTCAGCGCTTACAATTATACAGTACCGGCACGCGGTAAGGAATTAGTGAAGACAGATTTACAGATTGAACTTCCTTCTGGGTGTTACGGTAGAGTAGCGCCTCGATCTGGACTGGCTGTGAAAAATTTCATCGATGTGGGAGGTATGTGTCCTTCTTGTTGGATGTCCTTGTTCTGACCTCATAGGTTATCTTATCTAAAAGAATCCTTTCTATAATCTATAATTGATAAGTAAGTAACATAGATTCATAAAATTAAATGTTTACATGGGTAGTTCTAAAGTTGCATTGAATCTTTTTCCCTACCCCATTTTTATTTATTGATTTAGTTAAATCTTTATAAACCCAAGGCAAATACTTAAAACTTATAGGTACACTAATATTTATAATTGCCATACATATTTATTTGAAAAATTGAAAATGCCATCGAGCTTATATACTCTGCGTGTAGCCTAGTATATAGTATCTCTTTCTCTGGAATAAATTGATCATGAGTACTTCGCCTTGCAGGTTACAATCTTCTATAAGAATGTTTGATTGTCTAATATTTACGCAATGAAACCCTAGTATTCAATACTCATGGTTTTGGTACCCAGAAAGAATTAATATATGTCTGAAGTCAGTACCTATGCTAAAGTATTACAAGACAGTGGTATAAATGACTATTATTGGTGTAACTCGTCGAGTACCATATTTATAGACACAATTAAAGAACAATAGGTTGCAGTCACCGGTGACCGCTTGGTGTTTGACAGTTTAAAATATAAATAGTGACAGCATTATTATGCTTCTGTTCTAATTTGTTACCATACATGTATGACATAAGGTTAAGTTTACATGTTGTTAATTACTACATTTTTTTTCTCTTCTGCCAATGGTATCAATAGCATTGATCTTTTTAGTTTGAACCACAGAAGTTAGTGAATTGTTTAATTGACAAAGATATCAGAGCTTTAGGTTTCATATCGTCGTGAGTTTTAGTTTTCTGTTTGCATACTATTAAATTCTTGTTACAGCTGGTGTCATTGATGAAGATTACAGAGGGAATGTAGGTGTAGTCATCTTCAATCATTCGGACCAAGAATTTGTAATTAACAAAGGTGATAGGATTGCCCAATTGATTTGTGAAAGGATTTACTATCCAGTTCTCAAAGAAGTAACTAATTTGTCTGAAACCAATAGGGCCGATGGAGGATTTGGATCTACAGGGAAATGAAATACTTAAACCATGTTAACAGTACTTTAATAACATAAAATTTTTATATTAAGGTTTTAACATCTGAGAACAATAAGGAATGTTAACAAACAGACTATTATGTTCCATTGTAATTTAGGTTTTGTATGTTTTAGGGTAGTTCTTCATTGATTGTTATCATCATTACTTATTTTAAGAAAATCCATTGTTTAAAGTCTATTATAAGTTCAGTTTTGTTTAAGGCAATTTGAATATGAAGAATCAATGTGTCATGTTCTATTGCAATATATTAATTCTGGCTTTGTTTACCAGAAAATTGGTATTAAATATATTGCTAAAACACATTCCCCTGGATAGTTTTTAATAAAGTTCTTGGTTAATGAAGTTTTGTTTTTATTAATGTCATCAATTTATTTTGTTTTGCATTTAAACATAAAAGGCATGCTCTTTTGTAACCTATAATTCCACATAATATGGACAATTTGATTTACACCATACAAGCACCATGATAACCTGTGAGATTACATTTCTATACTTAAATTACAATATAAGTACACTATCTTTCATAAGCACAAAATATTGTATAAAAATACATAATAATTAATTGCCTATCTACCTGATAAATCTAATTCAAGGTTTTTGGTCTTCAAAACTATTTAAGACACTTTCAAAAACTAATCTCTCATATGTTGGAGATGGGGTACTTGGTGGAACAATCTCTTTAGTCCTTTTCAAGAATGGTTTTAAGAAGCTTTTAATTTTGTTGTCATTGTTTATGCCAAAGTCAGCTTCTGCTTTTTCCACCTGTTTTTCAAGTTGTTCCACATTATTTTGAAGTTTCTGTATAACATTTAATAGTGTAGATATTTTTTTTGAAAGTGCTGTAATTTCATTGCGGTATTTGCTGATATCATCTGAAACAGCTGAGCTACAATCACTATTCTTTAGTTTGACCATCTGCAGTACACTAGTTAGCTCTTCAAGTCTTGTCAACATGTTATCAACCACATCTTGAACTGTTTGAAAACCATTTAACACATCTAATTTCAAGTATGCAGAGTAATCTTTCACCAATTCGTCCAACATCTTGCAAATTACTCTGATTCCAATGCTTTTCCTTCGAAATCTGGATACAAATATTCAATGACACTTACAAGAGTATCTACGAAATCTGACACAAGTTTCGATAGTCCTCTAAACGATGAGGGACACCAACGTAAAAGTTTTAAAAATAATTCCATTGTTAAAGCACTACAAATTTATCACTTGCTAACTATTACATTCTTTGCTACCACATACATTTCCATTATAGCGAACTGCGAAGTATTGAGAAATAGTAAATACTTTGCCTTGAATTTCCCACCTCCCATCTTGGTATTTGCAACACTAACCCTGACATCATTTTAGAAGTATTAGATAGAGACTTCCTGTTAACTGCTACTCTTTACGTAAGAACATTTTGATAATATTTTTATGATTAATGGGATGAATAAAAAAGACGAAATACATAAAAACACAACTTATTCACTTTAAAATAATAATAAAAACATATTTTTACAACTGGTAACACTAATGGCAAGTGTCAATGTCAATTCGTTTAGTTGATTCTTTCGCACTATTTCGTTAGATTTTCTTTTTTCCTCATGCATGCGGTCAACAAAATTGAGATAAAATATTATTAAAATAAACACAAATAAATGCATTTTAGAGTTTTAATTTAATATTCAAGGTAATTTTGAAGTACTATTACTTTTTTACGCAATTTATAAATTTTTGTGCTATAAATAATCTGTTTAATTTTTTTTTATCTGCTGTGAAGTGATCTAGGTTTGGTTGGTTTAGTTCATTCTTCCTTCACTATTTTTTAGTGAATTCTGAAATATTTATAGGATGCTTCCGTCGACAGGGTATTTTAAAGGAAATAGTTGCCCTTTTTATGATAATGGTTTATGCGAGAGACCCTACTGCCATTTTAGACATGTTAAAAAAGAATCTCAAAATATTAACAATGACGGAATCGAAAGTGGAGCGATATTACAGAAACTTGTGTCGGCAGCAGTACAAAAGGTTCTTCTGCAGAAGGAGGCCTCTGGAGCAACGACAGTGACACAACCAGAGAACACAGTAAACCAAGTTCCAAGTGTAGCTAAAGTGACGTATAACCCTACGCCGATATCAGAGCTGAACAAGATTAACAATCCTGCACCTGACGAAAACAATGAAGAAGTTGTTGAACAAAGAAAGAGACATATTCCTGTACCATACACACCGAGGAAACCCGCAGGATTACCTCTACAAAGGCCTATTGACACTAATGGAGCCTCTAAACCTTTTATTTACATTCCCCCACCTTTGAAATATACGCCAGGCAGTACAGAAAATGTGCAGTGTGATAAGTACACGCCTACCGGGTCAACAGTCTCAACCGAAAAGTATTTGCCCGGGTCTGAGACAGAACTACAACAATATAATCCCAATGAAGGCTCAAATAACTCCAGTAAACATAATTATGTTCCATCAGACAAAAACACTAGCAAGAAGAAGATTTTAGAATATAAACCAACCAAAGTTAGTTCAAAGAGTGAAATTCCATCAGTTACCTACCAACCTACACCAAGGTCACTAGCACCTTGTTTTTCTAGTGATGAAGATGAACCTGAAAATAAGAAAAGGAAACTGTCTTCTGACCTTAATGGTTTAGATGATTTGGGCCCCGAGTTTGATATGTTAGATCAAATATTAGATGAGGAAAAGCCTGATCAACATAAAATTAAAAAAGACAAAACAGATAGTACTTTGAAAACAGTTAGTAGTAAAAGTAGTGTTAGCAATAATAATGGTGACAATAAGAAAACAGATGACAAAAATGATTCAAGTAAAAGCAACTCTAATAAAAATCATGACAGTAAATCACATCACAAAAGCAGCTCAGATAGGAAAGATAAATCAAAGTCTGAAGAAAAAACGAAGCAAGAAGAGAAATCAAAGAGTTCAGACCATAAATCTAAACATAAAAGTTCAAGTAGAGATAAAGAAAAGGAAAAGGAAAGGAAAGATAAAGATTCATCAGAGAAAAACAGGCATTCCAGTTCAAGAAGTTCTGAACGTAGCTCAAAACATAGTTCATCTAAGAAACATGATTCCAAAAAGCATAGTTCAAATTCTAAACACAAGTCTAAAACAAAAGATAAAAGTGACCATAAGTCATCCCACAAAAGTTCAAAAGAATCTAAAAATAATCATGACAGCAGTAAAAATAATAATAGTAATAACTTATCAGATAATGATAATGATGACATTAACATTGATGAACTTATGGAGGAAGAATTTGATCAGGAGTCTGATGAGGATGCCATTGCATTGGAATGTAAAAAGATATTTGATGAATATGTTCCAGTGGAAAAACCTAAAATTATTGAGGACTCTAATAAAATTGAGGATACAAATGAAGAAGAGATTGTAGTAGGAAAGAAAAGAATATCTAGAGCACCTGAAACAGTAAAAGCAGTACCTAAAGCTCCTATTAAACCAGATTTTAAATTAAGTGCTGCACAAGCAATGGCCCAACGGTTAGCTAAAGTTAGAGACTACCATAGTGCAAGAAATGCAAATGTTTCTACAAATAATGAAAAACCACTCCTTAAAAGCAACTTCACTCCTCCCACAACAGGTATCAGTAAAATTCGAATAGCTCATGTGCCATATGCTTCCACTTTATTAAATGCTAAAAAGACTATTTCACCAAGTCAGAAACTACCATCTAGAAGTGAGCCTTCAACAAGTGCTACTATCACACAAACTGTAAAAAAAGGGGCTCAAAGAGTTGCACATGTACCTAATGAGAAATTTATTGATAGGCCAGGTGTTTTAGAACCTCTTGGTTCGAAAATTCCTGCAAATATTAGATCAACTTATTTAAATATGATGATAGATGAATGTTTAAAATTATATCTTAGTGCACATGATGCATATGCACGTGCACAACATGAAGAACTGACTACGAGTAAAAAATGTTCCACTGTACAAATATATAAGAATTCTGCAGTATTAGCAGTTAGCCGCTTAAGAAAAGAATCCCAAGAGAGCAAAGGAGTCAAGAAATCAGCATCTGATTGTTCAACACTCCAAAAAGTACCAGGAATGACACCTGGTAAACCAACGGGGTCATGGAGCATAGAGGGAAAGAATAGAAAAAATGCTGATAATTTGCATGAGTTTGTAGGTGCAAAATTATATAGTAACATTAAAAAATGGATTTTAACCGAAGAACAATTGAGACAAAATGGCTTTCCTAGACCTCATGAAAGTGGCCAAAAAGGAAAAGCTATTATTTATGGTAAAAATAAACAGAAACCACCAAAGGGTGTGTTCCGTACCTGTTGTAGATGTAAGAAAGATTATACGGTGGATAAGTTTGGTTTTGCGGCTACAAAGGAAGAATGTATTTATCATCCCAATAATAAGTATAGAATCAGAGGTGAAGCAAGGTATCAGTGTTGCAGTCAAGACGGGACATCTGATGGATGTTGTGTAGCTCCCAGCCATGTTTATGAATATGTTGACTTTGAAAATTTAAAAGGGTTTGTAAAAACTCTACCTCCAGAAAAGGTTATGGATGACTATGGAGTCTATGCATTAGATTGTGAAATGTGTTACACCACTCATGGTTTAGACTTGACTAGAGTGACAGTTATAAATTCCTCTTGTAAAGTTATTTATGAGACATTAATTAGACCATTGCACCCTATTATAGATTATAATACCAGGTATTCTGGTATAACGGAGGAGCAAATGCAAGGAATTACTACAACATTATTAGATGTTCAAGCTACCCTCCTTACCATGTTTAACAGTAATACTATATTAATAGGCCATAGCTTGGAATCTGATTTTAAAGTACTTAAATTAATTCATGACACTGTAATTGATACAAGTGTCTTGTTTCCTCACAAAATGGGCCCTCCTTATAAACGAGCACTGAGGAACTTGTCATCAGAACATTTAAAGAAGATCATTCAAAATTCCGTTGATGGACATGACAGTGCAGAAGATGCTACAGTATGTATGGAACTAATACATTATAAATTAAAGGAAGACCTTAAAACTAGGTAATTTATTATTTGTAAACCTATGTAACTATAGGTAGAATTTTTCTAATTACCTACCGATACTATTATATTTATGTATTGAATATATATTTTGTAATGTAACATTAACATTGAAATATAATTTCCACTGTAGCCAGAATTCTTTTGTAAAAGAACTCTAGAACTGTAATAATTTAATTGTCCAAATGTTAGGTTGTTGGAATTATTTAATGTTATTATTGCAATAATTACGTAGTAAATTAAGATAATACTTTTGTAAGAATTCACTTTTCATATAAACTATTTTTCTTATCTTAATTAGTTTTATTTTACTTATCAAATTGAACATTAGATATTTAATGTTTATGACTTCATGGCTCTAATTTATATTTCGTAATATTTAACTTTGTCGATTAATTGTTATTACCCAGTTGCAGCTCCAGTCAGTACCTACCTAGGTGTTGAGAACACGTCCAAACAAGTAACGACCAGTCTGAATAAGTAAACAAACAATTGCTCATCACTAATTTAAAGATCAACTTTCCAAAAGCTTTCTATCATTTTTAATGTTACCCCACTTTGATTTTCTCGTCGTGGGTGCGCCTATAAACATATTTTATGTACACATCACACACATGAACAAAAATTTGTGGATCACACAACTTATTCCGTGCAGGATTCGAACCCGCAACACATTGCGCAGTATCCGGTTGTCTAGCAACTACGCTAACCGTAGAGTCCATTCGTTTTTACTGGGGCAAACTCGATTATCACGTGCTTTGTATGTCATGCCCATAACAGAATAATCTGGGAGTTTTTTAGGAAAACTAAAGGAAAGGGAAGTCGACTCGACTATCAAATCTCCACACATGTGACTAATCTTAGAAATTAATAAAATAAAAAAGCTTTTAAACCGAAAATAATATTTTACTAGAAGACGAAATATTACACATACTTAAATGTCCTTGAAACACAAGACATTTCAAACATTCAGCTTTATAAGAAAACAAGAAAACTGCTACACATTTCGAAAATATCCATTGGGACACTTATAATATACATTGAATGAGACTCAATTTTGTGCAGCAGAATATTTATGACAATATATTAGTATAAAACCACTGGAGTCAATAGATAATCATTTCGAAAATTAAAAATAAAACTTGTACTATTTTAGGTAAACACTTGATAATACCCACTAGGGGTTTTGGGTAATTAACAATTACAATAATGCAGCAAATAATTACAATTTCTACATAACATGTATACTTCATTAATAATAAAATATTAAAGTACTCCAAAAGTCATCTAAACAATGAATAATCAATATAATAAAGTAAATTGTTATTTTTTAAAATACAGAATTATTTTAGTTAGTTTTGGAGATATGGCATTGCTACCAGAGCCTAAAATTGTAGCCAAGCAAAGCTTTAGTAAATTTTCATCCAAAGCTATTTACTTGATAAAAGTTTATACATTTTAACTAATTATTAGTAATGATAGTTCTATTGAAAAATACTGCAATTTACAAATATAACTATTGTTCATTTCATTAATTACAATGAATATAATAATGTGGTGAGACAAGGGATTAATGATACTAGGAAAGAAAGTAGTTCACACATGAGATGATACATTAGAATATAATGCTGATATTATTCTTATAGTTATTGTTATGCAGTAAGGTTTAATATTGTCCATGAGTTATAATAATAGAATATTATATGGAACTATTTGTCTATGTATATTACCTGTTGACTCAAATTTTGGTTTATCTATCAATTATTAGTTTAGTTTACCAAAACCCATACTTATTATTAATCTGGTACACTTTTGCAGTAAACTTGGCATGTGATAATGTATGTAATTATAATTTACATGTTTGTCCCAATGAAATTTATAAGGAGGTATTGGCCGTCGTGATCAGCAGCAGGTATTGTGTACACCACATGTAACTGAGATCCTGGTTGACCCCTGCTAGTCAATGAATGATTGTTCTACACATGCTTTCACCCGTTTTTCATATTCCCGTCGGTTCTCCTTATAAAGCTGTGCTGCCATGGAGTTTGCAGGTGAATTGGGGTTAGGGTCACTTAGTAATGACTGAAAAGAAAAAAGATAAAATCATTAGTTATCATTATCATCACAAATTGCTTACATTGGCTGTATAAATAACAAATTAGCATCAGTGTTTTTATAGTAGCAGTAAGCTTACCTACATAACTAATTCTTAAAGACTACCATGATTTTATATTCAAGAAAATTAAACAAGGTTGTTTTTAATGTCACCCATTAGTGTTACATTGTAACAATGGCATTAAGTGCCATAATGTTCAAATTCAAAATTCTTTATTATCTTAAGAATTACACTATCTGTCTAACATTGAGGCAGTCCCAATGTGCACCGGGTAAAAGGTGAGCTGTTACATTTTTTTATCTTATTAGTTGATATGAGTTAAGGTGGATATATTTACCTGTATAGAAGTTAATATAGCTGACACATCATATGTCGGGCTCCACCGGTTTTGCAGGATGTCTAAGCAAATGCCTCCATCAGCATATACATTGGGGTGGAACATTTTAGACACAAATCGAACTGTTGGAGGTTTATTAGGGTATTCCTCTGTGAATTCTATTGTAAGCTTGAATGTGCCATCTTCAAATGGAGTGTCATGGGGTCCAAATATCACAGCATTCCAGATCATGATATTATTATCGGTAGGAGCACCGGAAACTCCAGTGGGTGGGTCCTCTTGCAAGCTGTAAATGGTATCAAAAAATTATGATCCATTGTTATTAGCATGCTATTTATTGTAAACTATTTATGATATCCTTTTGTAACAGTACAATAGATTTTTGATATTAACTTTTGTTTTGTTCATAGTTGATATGTTCATATGATGATGATGAATGATGAAAAATGCATTGTCTTTTAGTGCATGATTAAAATAAGGAAACTAGTTGTTTAAAAAACTAATTTGTTCCCATTATATTTTTATTCTCATGGAAACCTTTAGAACATAATCAAGGTCATGAGATAATTTATAGTTTCAGGCAAAGAATAGCAATATTAAATAGAGTTTGGTATTTTTTGAGTTCACCCGTGACTACAGACTTTGTTTTCACGAATGTACGAGTTGGTATTTGGATAACCTAAATAATAATAATATGACTACAACAAACGACGTTTGCACGAAAGTGACGTAGCTATGTCTACTTATAGCGTTTCCCTACTCTCCGTGTCCAACACAAAGAGTGCCTCCGTGTACCGTGTCAAAGTTTTGCTGTTTACAATGGAATTCGAAATATAGAACAAAATAGAAATCAATTAAAATAACTGTGATGTAATTTGATGAATCAGCACTACACTTTCGCACAATGAAAATATCGACACAAAATGTAATAAGTGTTCGCAAAATTCATTATCAGTGATTAATTTATAAGAATAATAAAGAAATATTCAGTAACAAACCGTTTGAAATCCCTCATTAGGCGTCTTCTAGCTGGAGTTGACATTTTGGTTTCACGCACTTGCCACTAATTTGATATAGGTATCGTTTTTGTGAGATGTGTTGTCCTTATGAAACTTTTCATATGACAAAGTTCATAAACTATTTAAGTAGGTTTTGCTTGTACACAAAAGATTCCGTTTTTGTCGTTGTGTAGAAATTTCTGTCGTCACGGCCAGCGAGATGGTTGTCAGATGACCATGAAATTAGCAATTGAAAACTCTGCAAGTGGTCAATACACAAACGTCAAGTTCTCAAGTCCTTTTACGGCTAACTTCATGTTCATATTCAGTTGATATTCTCGTATTACCAACGTCATATCTTTTAGTTTCGCTGACTAATTTAATAGGTCTGTGGATAGAATGTTCCACCTCTAGCGATACTGCGATAGTTGACAGTTGACGTATGACTTTGACAGTTGTAATTTGCCTGTGATTGTCATAATTGTCGTAAATATTATCTTTCTTCCTTCTGATATTTCAATTTTAATTAAGAGTATCAAACAATTAATATATATATATATTTTATGTTTGAAATTGCTTCCCAAACTGTACCCTAAAAGTTTAAAATTCATGTGATTTACGAGTGCATTTTAGCTAACAAGCCATGTTACACAATATTTGAAATATTGATACTAAATTGTTTGCAAACCTCAACAATGAACGACAGTGGTTCAAAGAAGATCCTTTTTAATAAATCTACAGTAAGTTTATTTTAGAATCTATTAGGAGTTATGGGTTAAAACAAATCTGTCATTTGGGTAATCTATTTCAAATTTTACTAGCTATTGTTAAATTTAATACTTACCTATCTGCATTGATAATAATTTCAAAAACACAATTAACAACAAAACAAGAATTCACAAAGAATTTCTAAACCAATCAAATACATTTTTTATTTATAGTTATTTAGCTTGAAAGCCGAGCTGCTAAGAAAACAAGAGGAAGTGAATGAGAAGAGACGACTGCCACAACACAAGCTTGAGAACTTCAAACCTCCAGTAAAAGAGAAGAAACAGGACAAAGATCCAGAAACTCCATACAAAAAGACATTCAAAGACAGTTTGAAAGCTGTTGATACTGAGGAGTTAGAAGCTTGTAGGAAAGCCAAGTAAGTATCTTTGTCTAATAGATAAAAGTAAATGGAAAATTATACTATAACAAAGTTGCCAATGAAAGATAAGAAACTCATTATTTTGATTCAAGGTTGGATTATTGTATTGTATGCTTAAGCATATTTATGATCCTAATTTCTTTTCAACTACAAGTTAATAATGAAAATAATGCCCTATACATGCTAAAATAAACTAAATCTAATTATTTTTTACCCTTTTCATCAATTTTTTTCATATTAGGGCAGCATTGGAAAAGAAAGCAGAGTTGTATGAGCACTTATCAGATAGTGCTGGCAACTCTCAGCTGGCCGGCAGATTCCTTGTGGACTTTAATACCAAGAAACAGCAAGAACCAGAGAAAGTACCTGAGGAGGCACCAGAAGAATATCAAAATGAGAGCAGTTTCAGCCAAGATGATGATGAATGGTAAATATTATTTATATTTAATATAATATGATGTTAATGCAAGATATGTATTGACTTGTCCCACTTTCAAACTTTACTGGGTTATCCCATAAAAATAAAATAGTGTTGTAGTTTTTTAACTCTTTGAGTACCATCATTATAGACACAATTAAATAACAATAGGTTGCGGTCACCAGTGTCCTCGCGGTGTTTGACAGATGCACCTTTTGCGGGGTAATATCGTAGTAAGGGGATAGCCACGAATGATGTATAAATAAAGTAACTTTATTTATATGTCAATAAGAGAAAAGTACTTCAAAGCGACACTTATCAATAAAATCTTGATTTTTTTTTAGGACTGAATTCACTGACTGCTTGGGTAGAACCAGAAAATGTCATAAATCTGACTTGGATATGTACCGGAAAAGAGATGCTGCTCTCTTGAAGTCTATGAGTAAAGATAAAAATTCTTCTGACGATATTGTAGAAGCTAAACCAGAGGTAAGAAAAGAACATATGTATAACCAAATGCAAGTCTTTGTTAAAATATTAAAACTTACCATGTTACACAGTGTTTGCTAGTTGAAGCTTTTATTTAGTTAAATTTAAAGACTCATCTACAAATACATTAGTCTACATATATATGGTATTTGTTTTTAGTTATTTCTTACGTCTGAAGTCGTAATCCGAAAAATCGATCCGTATCTAGAAATAATATTTGAGAATAATCTCCCATTACATTCAACATTGGCATTATTGTAAGTTTCTATTAATAACATGTCCAACTTTAAAACACAATACAATTACCATATTTTTGCTGTTTACAGGAACCTGAAACTCCAGTTAAAGAGAAGCCACTTTTAGTCCAAACAACTAATGACTATCTACAATCACTGCGGGAAAAATGGGACCAGAAAGAAAAGGAACTACTAGGAAAAGATAAAGATATACATTATCAAGACTTGCTGTTTGATGGTTCGTACTCATTTCTGCACCACTTATCTTTTCAAAAAGATTTAAACATGGTATCAGCTACATCATAGTAAAGCAATATTTTTTCTGGATAACCTAATAGTTGTATGCACGACTGACGTGCGGAGGGTTTGTAGAAGTTTTTCCATTTTTGCAATTTCTACTATATATGTGCTGACGGAAAGTGGGTCTTATATTTTCATTTGTACATCTCTATTCACCTCAATCAAATTATGATTATTAAACCTATAAGTACTCTTTCTATGTAACTCTTTCTATGTTACTAACAAAACGATTCTTTGTTACAGAGGCCCGCATTCATGGCGTGGGTTACTATTCCTTCAGTACTGATGAAGCAGAGCGTAAGAAACAGATGGAAGAGCTTATAAAGCAAAGGGAAGAAACTCTGAAGGCGCAGCAAGAGACTGAGGAGATTCGTAAGAAGAGAGACGAGATGATTGCTGCGAGAGTAGCGGCAGCTCGCGCTAGGCAAAGGGCAAGGGCTGGATTACCTCCTGAAGAACCTACTAAAGGTAAGATTTCTAAATAAAATATAACAGATGGTTCTAATAAAACTGCTGCCTCGTTGGCCGAGTGGTCGCAATTGAGACTGCCGGGTAAGGGGTGTCGGGTTCGATTCCCGGGTCGGGCAAAGTATTACTGGTTTTTTTTTTAATTCTCAGTAGTAGCACGGAGTCTGGAACTGTGCCCGGTATATGGCAATAGGCTCACCCCCTATTACATGGGACTCATAACATAAATAGTGAAAAGTGGGGGTTACATTGTACAGTGGTATAATGTGCACCTCTGCCTACCCCTTCGAGGATAAAAGGCGTGATGTTATGTCATGTGTCTAATAAAACCAGATTGTCCTCATTGACTTCTGCTATGCACGAATCACGTCATAGTGATTGTTTTCTGAATTGACTTTGCATCTTTATTTTTACAGATAATCAAAAAGACTTCACCACGTGCCTACTAGAATTTTTGACGCAACAGAGGAATGAGGCTGATGCTAAAGCAAAGGAAGAAGAGAACAGAATAAAAGCTGAACAGGAGAAGGAAAGGCAAAGGTTACGTGAGGCTTACGTGCGAGAATGGGACATCGGTAAGGAAGGCGTAGAAAGTAAAATAAAGAAATTCAGAGAAATGAGCCAAGAAGAATATGTAGAACAACAAAGAGATAAAAGAATTAATGAATTTGCTCCACCACAAGCTTCTACTTCGGGCAATGCTAATGTCTTCGACGATAAAGGTCATATGATAGGTAACAAAGAAACTAATGCTACTAAAACGTGGGCGGACGTCAGACCTAAAGCCAAGACGCCACCCCCACCCGAAATAGGTGATCTCAGCGAGATACCACAAAAAGGGCTGTACTTTACAACAGCTAAGAAGAATGACAATTTCAAATATAAGAATTTTGTTAGAGCTTCAGAGCAGACGCCGACACCTATTATTAATGAGTTAGAAGACACTGATTTGGTACCCAATAACCCAAGGATAGAAAAAAGAAGACATGAGTCGGAAGGAGTGGCCATACCGCCACCGCCAACATTTGAGTACTATGGACCAACTATAAAGCAGACAAAATATGATAAACCCTTTGAATCAGATATAAGAGAAGCATACAGTCAAGGTGCAAAAAGCCTAGAAAATAAATCAAAGGGCAAACAGTTGCCGAAGCATTATGATTTTACTTTCGATTAAGAATAATTTATTTATAAAATAAAACACATTAAATTTTCTGTGCGTGTTTATTTTGTGCCAATGCCAATCACATCTACATAATGTCTAAAAATATTGCAGAATATATTTACAATTTGTCTATACTAATATCACATGGAATGAGCGCTACTATACTACGTTAAATTTCTAACAATTAAAGCTTCACTTACAGAGATCAACTTTTGACAATGAATTATTCTATAAACTAGCAATAAAATATGAAGTTAAATGCTTAAAGATTATAATTTAGAACGACGCCGACGGCTAGGGTTAGTATGTGTGCATCGAAGCGGGTAGCGGTGTTATTTTTGAGTGGCATTGTAGTTTGGGTTGTGCTTGTAAGCATAACACTTTCAGTAGTTTTAGTTGTTGCTGCGTCAGTAAATTGGAAAGCTTCTGCAGTAGGCAACTGTTCACTTGGCTTCAGATTGTTAAACTTAGCTTCAGTTGGTGCAGTTTTTACTACTTCTGGGGTAGGTTCTGTCATAGCGTTTGTTTCTGTCATAACTTTTGTTTCTACAGTTGTCTGTGTTGTAACTTCAAGAGTAGTCTGAACCTCTGGGACGTTTTCGTTTGGTTTAGCAACATCCTTATCAGTTTCGTTATTCAATAAGATAATTTCTGTTTTCAGATTACTGGTTTCCATATTTTCACTAGGAATATCAACTTGTATGACGGAATCATTCATTTGAGTGTTCACGTTTGTTGGTTCAATCATCATCTCACTAGGGTTATTAGAAGCTTCACTATTTTGAAGTTCAGTACTAACTTGAGTCGTTTCAACGACTTGTTCTTCGCTTTTTGCTTCTGTTACGATATTAGCTACATTGTCGTCATGACTTTCAGTATCCAGATCAATATTAACGTTAGTTGCGTTGAGATCCTTTTCAATTTCTTCAACAGCTTCTGCAGTCGCGTTGTCTATTCGGTTTCTTCTAGGATTCAAGCTTATGAACCGTCCAGTAGTTACTAAGGCTCGTCTAAGCCGGGTGTTGTGTGTCTTGGATACGATCTTCGCAAGTCCCGCGAATGCTTCCAGTTCGCGTTCAGTATTAGGTCCATTGCAGAGATCTCCGAGGCACGGGCAAGTCATCCGCCATGTTTTGGTAGAGTTGCAGTAGAGCGCATAGCACTCATCTTGGTATAACTTGACACAGTATCTTGATTCCTTGTATGCTGTAACATAATAAGTAAGCAACGAATTACTCGAAGTCTTGTGGTGTAATTAAAATTAGAGGTGTGAATGTGACAATAACTGAAGAAGTACCTATGTAGAGACCGTAGATAGATGGCGCTAGAGGTGTCTGTACTTTATTTAGACATTTATTTACTTCTTATTAAGCCATTCAAATTTGACTAGGTAGGTTACGGGTTGACACTTACGCGGCGAGGTGGCGACAACTGCGCAGTACTGGTATCCAGGATCGCAGACGGTGACCTGCATTTGCCCACCACTGCACGGTAGCGCGCGCTGACTGCGATGTACCTGCTCCGCTAGGGGACCACACCAGTAACATCGATGATTCTCAGCTGCGGCTGAAATGCGAGAATGAAATAATTTGAGATCTAATTTCATACATTTCATCTAATTTCAAAAAATACCTAATCAAGGTATTTTTTTCTTTCTCTTGAAGTTATTACAATGCTGGGTACAATTAATGGGGCACAAAGGTAATTGGCAAACTGCGAGTGTAGGTAAGTAACGCTTTGTGAGAACGCTAATGCGTAGTTTAATGTAGGCATTACCTACCCTTTCAGAAAATACCCTACAGAAATGCTATTGAATACATAACGTGAAATCAATTAACACATAACATTTCATAAACTATTCAATAACAGCACACAGTTTAGGCACACATATAGGTAATAACGCGTCTATTACCGAAAACTGGGACATCAATATTTGAAATTAGGTTACCGCAGTAAATTGACCACGTGGTCGGATATAGGTACTATATTGGTGGGTACCTAGGGGAAAGCTCATATATTATATAGTTTATACCTATATAGTATATATACTATATAGTATATATTATAATTATATTTAATTATGTACTTCTCTGAAATATACTAGTTGATTTTTCACTTGTTAAATAGAATCATTGCTTGCCCCTTGCACCTACCATTTACTCTTCTCTGCATTACCCAAAGGTCAGACTGGTAGAAAATGCCTGCGGCATTAAGTCCACCTATTTGTGCATTTTGAGCATGAAGCATATTAAATAAATAAAAAGCTCTAGTGAATAAATGTTCCCACTTGCCAGTACATAAATACATAGATATATTGCACGTGTTACATCATATACATTGCACGGTTGGCGCGGTGGCTGAGCAACTGGCTGCTGCGCAACGAGTCGATTCCCGCACGGAACAACTCTTTGAGTGATCTACAAATTGTCGTTCCGGGTCTGGGTGTCATGTGTACGTGAACTTGTGTGTTTGTAAACGTACCTACACAGGAGAAAATGCTAGTGTGGAACAACGTATTAAAAAAATAGGTTTCTACGATGACGATTATCATAATTATGGTTTATTCGTTTATACTTAAGGTCATCACATACTTGACATCTTACACCGAACAAGCACAGCTCCGGCATAACTTTTTAGCTTTAGAAAGAATACAAAAAGACCGCCGACGGCGCGCTTACAACCTTTTTGTATTGACGTTATGAAATATGTCATACAACATTTGATTTAAAGTTTATATTTAATTGGAATTGGAGCCGAGCCGGAACCGTGCTTGTGTAGTGCAGTGACTATGTTCAGCCACCTCAACCGTTATTTCCACTCAATATTATGTATAAATATGGTAGCAATGGTTGATTGCGGACTGTTGGTTGTTCCTCCACAAAATTGTTCGAAAATCATACGTAGATATTGTTTTCTGAGTTATATGAGTCTTCATCAAAGAAATATTATTTTTTATTAAGTACATCTATGGTCGTCACCAAGTGTTCAAGGTAGAAAATAATCTTTGAAAAAGATGCACTCGGCCAACACAAATTAATTTATTGAGAGTTGAGTTGTCCCATAGCTCGATAGATTGCGTTGGCCGATAAAAATTAGTAAGCCATCATTTCGTTGATCAACACATTAGGTTGATCTATTTGTTGCTAAATAAAAATGTCTCGCTCTGAGATACATCGTATCAATTGAAGTACCAACGCATTAAAGAATCTCGTTCCGAAAATGTTCACCAAGTATTTACCTAAAGACCTAAAAGGCGACAGAAACTTGGTGTTAAGATTTCTTTGGTAAAAATATACAAACAGACCCTAAATTGCACGGGCAGGTACAGTATGTGTCCACCCTGGTTCCAATAGCCCGTTAGTAATTCAGTCGGCAATGACCGGTGGTAGCGTATGATCATTAATTCACACGATGCAGCTGCCCTCTTGTTGATTACTCTTCCTATGCCAATGTTAACGTTTGCTGTCTATTTGTTTGCGTGGTTATAGATCGTTTCTAAACAATTTAGTATCTATGGTAACTATAGGTAAATACGAGAGGATACTGGTATATAGCAAAGCAATGTGACTCACGTTAACATTATACTACGTTCCTGAAATATAAAATCTTTTAGGCGTTTCAGAGATGAGACAAGCTTTACCTATACATGTGAGTATGCAGCTTTCTTGGTGTGTTTGTAGTTTAACCTCTTGTCTATCGATATATGAGATACAATAGAAAACATATTCTGTCTTGAGTTGATCTGCATTCTGACACTTCACAGGTTAATATTTTTTTAATGTAGGTAGACTTGTCGACGTCATACGGAACTTAAAAATCAATTACTTTTACGAATTTATAACGATAGCTTAAATATACCGTTGGAGACTTTTTAATATGATAGAGTATCCTAAGACGCCTGCTTCGAAACCTACCAACGGCAAGTATACCAATGTAGCTTTTTCCTGGGCCTAAAACCTGGGCTTATATTTCTAACGATAAGTTTGAAATCACCAACCCGCATTGAGCAAGCGTGGTAATTAATGCTCAAAACCTTCTTCGTGTGAGAAAAGGCCCTTGGTCAGCAATGGCCTCTTGTAGGCTGATGATGAGGGTATCTTAAATCCTAAACTATTGCAAACGAGCAGACGAGTCATAGGTCGTAGCGATCAGCGCTGACTATGGAACACTCGCAACACCGAATGAGTCACAGCGTAGCCGCCTTGCCAGCCTTTGAAGTAGGACCTGCTAAGTGGGTCTCGTATTTAGGGGTGGTAATGGTTATTAATAGAATTGGAATTAGACACAAAAGGTCGTATTATTCATACTCGTTTATCGTGTTTATATTTATGGTGACACATTGTTTTTTTTAAATGTCTGTCATGGCGATGGCTTAGGTGCCTACAAGACAAGGGATTTAGGGCGTTAATGTTGACAACTTAACTTAGTTTAATGACACATTCAGGTCACAAAATTGAAGTCTATTTACTTAAAAATCAATAGGTAGACTAAGGTATTTATAAGTAATTGATTATAGGAATAAAACATGTCATATGTCTATGTATGATAACTAGTTTTTTATGATTATTATAGATATTTAGAATGTTCGATGTAGAATGGGTAGGTATTAAAGAAATAATAATGGTGCTTAGGTAGTTGAATCATTGTATTAAATTATTGGTCTTGAAAGTCAAAAAGAATATACTTATATTAAGATAATATGGTAGATTGTTAATAATGTTTTAAATATTCCGTGGTAACGAACAAGTGATCAGAAATTAATTGCTATAAACAGTGGCATCACATTTTTCAAATGGACAAATTAAAAATATGTAACTGAGTCTCCAACAAGATATTCATCTTTGGTAGGTACAACAAATACTTTTCAAAGTCTGACATACATAAATAGTTAAATAGTAAGATTGTCTTTTCCTTAACCATTTTATTCCTCGCTTGTAGTACGTATTTTCAACTATAAATGCTGATTCATAATATCAACCACCTGGTTCATACTCTGTGCAAAAAGAAACATAAACTACTTTATTAAAGATATCGATTGAAAAACAAACATACTTAGATATGAAAGCCATTAATGACCGTTTCTTTGTATTGAAGAAAAATATGTTTGACAATGCAATGCGAATACACCAGCACTTTAAGCTACTCTAGACTAAGAACTTTTTTAAAACATTTTCAACTCTAATACTAAACGATAAGGTTGCAAATTTGTACATAGTTATAGGGTAGTTTGATATGTCTGTATGGTAAATATTAGACTTAAATGGTGATGGGAGTCCACCATATGTTTTGAAGGACGTTCGTCAGTTGTTGAATATCTTATGACCCACGTCAATATGGCGCGATATTGAACTTTAAACGTTTTTATTTATTCAAAAGCTACAAGTGGACATCTTTGTTTGAATATTTATGTTTGAATAACCGTTTGATAGGAAATCAAAGGGGACATTTAGTTTTTGTTTAACCAGCCTGGTAATTGCTGAGGAAGGAGTCTTGATATCGAAGTTCAGGCAAAGTATTGGTTGATAATTTTTTTATAATTTGATGTTTTTAATAGCACTAAGTACCTACTATTGCAAATAAGGAGATATCTAAAATTAAAATTAAGTTAAGAAGATAAAATGTGATTTTCGATAATCAATTTGAATAGTATTAAAATAACTGAGGACCCATTTATCAATCAACAGATGATTCTTAATTCTTAACTGTAGAATAAAATTGACGTCTGACAGTTTTAGAATGGAAGAATTGTGAAAAGTTATTCCTTGGATAACATTTATCTGGTGTTGGCAAAATCGGCCCAAATAGGTAAATCTAATAATTCACTTGAATGGAATAAGAGAGAACAGAAAACTCTAAGAATAGAAAATTGTAAAAGAAGTACCTTATTAGGTAGTCTATACTATTGTATACACTTTAAAATACCGATTACAAAAATAATTAAAAACAGATTACAAAAATACAATACAACTTTAAATAAATACCTAGTACCTAGGTAAATAGCCCAGAATAAACCAAATAGTTTTAGGTACCACTAACTAAAACATTTTGATCGAGTGAGTACAAATATCCAGTAAAGTTGAACAAACGCACATCACTAAACAAAACATCTCAATCTAGAACAACATTCAACATTTATTACAAAAGTTTCCACTTTATTAGAAAAGCGAAAGTTAGCGAAATAATATGTACGAGTACTTACCACAGAGCGAGAGGAATGCCACCGCATACACTACAATCCTTGAGAGAAGAAACTTTTTATTCGCCATCTGAATACAAAACTTTCATATTTTATTTATACTTCACACATATTAATAAAAAAACTAAAGTAAAGTATTAACTAATACCTTTTTTTTAAGTGAGACACTATGACACAGAGCGTGTTTTTAAGTGAGACACTATGACACAGAGCGTGTTTTTAGTGTGTAGCGTCTGCCCGCCGACTATTCAAAGTTCGTAGTTCGTAGCGAGTCCACTTAAAGGCCTACGGCCATGTAAAGAATCGTACACACGCGACACGACTGAAGCTATCACAGAAAACGTGTTTGATATTATAAGCGATATAAAATTTGTGTGTCACGCTCTAATGACATTGAATTAATGTTTTCATGTACCTATGTTATGTTTTTTATTGTGTGATTCACTAAAATGTCTGTAATGTGTGTAATTTTTCATTTAATGGATATAACTTTGGTTGTGGTTTCGTTCGTGTAATTAAAATTAAATTATCATTTATCTCTAGATCTTGATCAATACGTCTGCTTAGTACCTACTTGTTTTATAAGAAACTCGAAATTCTGAAGTTTCATTAATCTTATCTTCATCTCTAATTATGTAAAATAAATATTAATATATTATTGTTTAAATATCTTATTAACACTTAATTCTTACCTTTAAACGATTGATGAGGAACAAATGAAATACATTCAACACTAATTAAATACTATATTATTGTAACTTGAAGCTCCTAAAAAGTTACTTAAAGGCTACGAACCACATATTTAAATCACGATCATAGCGTATACGTAGCGGTCATATGTACATACATATGACCGCTACGTTAGGTAATATTAAAATGGCGTTTCCGGACTGTGTAACATAGCCCACATTATAATGATCAATAACTAAATATACGTTGCTAGTTTTACTTGCAACCTTCGACCGCGTCAACTACTGTAGTAAACGATAACAACAATATTTTTAGTGGACGCTAGCGACAAAGTAATTTGATGAGCAATTATACTCTGTGTAAGGAAAAGAATCCGCGTGAATCGACCGAAATTCCCTAAGTTATTTCTAACATAAAAATAAACTGAAACCATTCTACTTTGGTCTAGAAACTTTGCAACATTAGCACTTGTTTGTTGTCGACAAACTTTACTATTTCAGCGATTATGATTGGAGCGCTCTGTAGCAACAAAACCTATATTTTATCGAACTGTGCGAAGCCGTATATTATTGTAAGACATAGCCATTTTCTCGGTTGTTTTCCCCGACATAAAGTAGCTTCTTAGAAAATAAGGTCGCTCTTTAGAAAATACGATCGAGCGGGGACAATAAATTGAGGCATGAATAAACACTCAAGAAAATAGATTACTTACCTAAAGGCAGGGTGTTATTACAATACGTTGAATACGGCATGTAGTGCACGAAATTAATGGCAAGGGTGAGGGTCGTATTACATCAACTATAGCCAAAACCAGATTGAATGAATTTCTCAGTAATTTATTGTATAAACATTTATGGTCGTTTACGTTTTAGACGTGGCTTTTTGTTATGTAGCTACCTACGTGTTTCTGTTTACCGCCTTAGCTTCATCAATTATACAACAAAAAAATCTTTTTTGTTTCTAACTTATCCATAATTAATTTTCCAAAATAATGTACCATATTAGTTACAATTATTCATCAAATTTAATAAAAAGGTTATTACAGAGTAACTTTCCAAGTTTTATAGATTTCAATGAAACCGGCTTTAGTCCTTTATCCTCTTGTAAAATATTATCTGTGAAAACGAGAGGGGTGAATGAAGGCAAGTATTTCGGAAACTGTGGCCTTATCGTGCTTACATTCAGCCGCATTTCATGGTGTTACCATATATACGCGTCTTTGCCAACGTTTCATCAAAGAGGATTGAATGTTTTTTATGATGACGTCAGAATGTGTGTATCATATTTTGTACACTCAGTTTTAAATGTTGTTATTTGTAAAGCTGTTCAATATGCGAAGATTTTGTACCTTTTCAACTGAATTCAAAAAAAAAGAGAAGGTTTTCAATTCGATTCGTATTTTCAGTTCGTGTAGGTAGCTCGTGGTAGGTGTATTACTAGTATGTACTTATATTTATGCGTGTTATAGGTATAAAGGGACGTAAGCTGCTGTATTATATTCAGTTAATACCTAAACACATTATAGAGCTATTAACCAATTACTCAATTCCTTTTTGAAGACACCATCTAAGAATGAATAACAAACACTTCATTCCATTACATTTTTGCATAGGGTAGGTAAGTGCAGTTGATGTCAAAAATATCTATCCATTTCTAAGACTTTCAGATTGATAGACAGAAGACACAACGGTTCACTGAACGCAGGAATAATGTAGAATGCATATTGAAATCTAAAACGCTTTCAAATCTTTTACTATTCTTAGTAAATATGTAGAGGTATATTTATTTTGTACTACGTTTTACTATTAGTGTGAAGAAGTAAATACAATAAAAGCAGTTTATTTGAACGTCTCTTTTCTCGTAAACAAATCAAGTTTTGTGAGTGAAACTACGTCTGAATTGTTGTTTTTACGAGTTTTTATTTATTTGTATTTGTTAACTTGTTTTTCGGTACTTAGTTTACAAGTATCTCACTTTTTAGGGTTCTGTACGATAAAAAGAAGAAGCGAAACAATTTTGTAATGAAGACTTTGTTATCTGTAGGTATTACACACGGTATCTACTTATAAACTTCGATAATATGCCTGAAAAGTTCTGTATAAAGTCAATGGCTAGCATGAAGGTGTTGATGTACCTACTTTTGGGGTCCTCTCAATACATAATTAATTATTTTAGTCCACTTTTCTCTTAGATAAAAAAACAAAAGTTCATACAAACTTTGATTGAAACAAGACTGTCATAACTACATACGTAAATGATATTCATACGCAAAATGAGCACACAGATATAACACATCGGCATTGGAACAGCGATGCATTACCTGCGGCTTCCAGCGTTAAACATTCACGTATTGTGTAAGTTAATCTTAAGAGGAGTTCGGTCGGCTTTGTGTGGATGTAGGTCATCGGTGCAGCCTGCAATGCGACGCCAGCTCGTCATAACGAACGTTCAGCTGAATTCAAGAGTCATCGTTCCGTGTGTTCGTATGTTCTCATCTCCAAATATTTGTGAATAAAATATTATAGATGGATATGGATACAGTGTTGTATGTTGGTTTTGTGAATAGATACATATGTAACATAATATCATACCTTTCAATACCAAAAAGGGTTGGTAGAGATGCACATACATCTACCCACAATTCTTTCTTTTCTTTTTTTAAAACGTTGCCCCACACTAGGATTTTCTCCTGTGTCGTGGGTGCGTTTACAAACATACAAGTTCACATACACAATGACACCCAGACCCGAAACAACAATTTGTGGATCACACAAAGTGTTGTTCCGTGCGGGAATCGAACCCGCGACACGTTGCACGGCAGCCGGTTGCCCAGCCACCGCACCAACCGTGCAGTCAAATGTTGCGTTGCGTTCACAATGTTGCGTTGTTGCAAATGCAAGGTGAACAAGGGGTCTTAGTTACGATTCCTTGTAGGTAGGTCAAATATTTTTGGAAACTGTTCGGTTGTTCGAAACTTCTTGTGCCCGATGTATGGCAAATTAGCATTGCATTGTTTCAAACTACCTATAGTTTGAACATCTGATAAATTTGGATGAAATATTTATTTCATTTATCTACTATTTTTTTAGGTACAAGTTAACGTTATATTAATCAATCATTCTTAAGTTACTGACTTAGTAAATTCGTTTCACTTTGAGAGCACTTAAGTTGATAGTCATAAAGTTTTATGTTAACCTCTATAACAATCAGCCTAATCGAGAACTAGGGGCGGTTTTAGTCTAGTTTAGAGACCGATTACAAGATTATAAAAAGGAAAAGTGTGTATGTACGGGATAGTATGAATATCATTGTTTCATAGTTACTTAAGGTATGTCCTTTTTGGTACTAAACAAAAAGTTTTCAGTTAATATATTTGATAATATAACATGTATTTCTACCATTTATAAATACTAAACTAGGTTTCTAAATACTTGAATTTGGTATGTCTGCAACTAGGAATCTGTCAGCGCTAAGCGTGGACGCAAATCTGTACAAATAGTGTCATTTATCGCGTCCGTAACCCCGGCAGCCGGCAGCCGGCAGCCACCGGTGACGCGACGCCACCGTCAAATGAAGATAGAACACCCACTGGTCGACCCTTGAAATAAATCTTTCAACAAAGTTTCACTCGACGGATTTCGTTTTGAAAAAAATCAAGAGAAAACTGAACTGTCGTAAAAATGTTCGCGTTGTGTTCTTTTATGCTTTTATATTAGCTTACTACGTTAATAGAAAAGTTCTACGAAAGGTTTTTCTGATAGCGTAGTTTTAAAATTAATTCGTAAGTTCTTTGAGCGCATAGTTAGTTCTAACAAGATTATGAGTTTGATTCTTCGAAATGTTGTCTGAAATTGTCGAAATCTTAGTACAACGTTCTTTTTTACAGTTTCTTTGAAAATGATACTTGACTAGAGCTATTTTTGTAAATAAAATCAACCGCCAGATTACGCTCCAAACAAAAAGTCACATTTAACCAAACCTCGCGGAAATGTTGTAAAACATTCATCAAAATTTGAAGGGTACCTCTCGATACCTTTTAGGGGTGACTTAGCCCCCTTTTGAACGTTAATGGTGTGAATTTTATAGCGGTTGGAGTATCAAGCGAAGTGTGGCGAGATTTTTGACTCCGGAGCGTTCGGGGCATGAGTCCGTGCGTGTACGCTCGCACAGATTATATTACTGGCCATGAACTTATGGCCGGTTGCCGTGGCCCATAACTGCAGTGGCCCACTTAGTCCCCTTTTGACCCTGTTGTCAACTCGATGTAAATATAAGTGACCCTCGCGACGTCGTTATAATTGTACCTATCTATGTAAATTGAGTATTGCACACTGTCTGCCTCGCTCTGCCTACATTTACATTGCTAAACCTTGTTTGTAA